ACTGGAGGAAGATAATGGTGGTGGGGTGGCGTGCATTTGATGTAAAATAATGAGAGAAGCAGACGGTCGGGTTGGTCCTTGCAGGATGTTGGGGGTGGGGATGTTCTTCATAATCTATTTGCTTTTACGATATTGGTAATCTAATTTTTGTGAAACCCGTGCAAACGACCGCAATATTCCCTTGTGATCTGCGTTAGTTAACTTGCATGATGCTGCTGTATGTTGACAATCTGCCTCAAACAATGTTATCTTTGGATCTTTGTGTCGTGTTGTGGTCAACGTAACGGCGCCATCCACCTGTTGAGGTGTGATGGCAGCCTAAGCTGTTGAAGGCGCGGGGACAGCCTAAGCTGTTGAAGGCTAGGCTATCATGATTACCCTAGCCGCCGGCTTCCTGTCCTCGTCGAGGACACTAGTGTTAATGGCCCTCAGGTAAATCAATGTAAAAATCAGGGTTGTTTAATATTTAGTGTGAACCTGATGAGTAGAGAAGTATGCCTTTTCTTTTTCTCTCCTATTTCATTATATTTATTTTGCTTTTAAGCTATTCTTATTGATTTGCTGTGTAGTCCCTTAATTTTAAGGTGTGAATTAATGCGAACGAGTGTGAATGTATATTATTACTAGCTGGTAATAAATACAGCTTCTGGATAGGGTGGGGGAAGAGAAGTGTTTTACCACTACAATGCGTGATATAAACAACCTCTGGGAAGTGGTAGTATCATATAGTACATAACAATGTTCGCAGGCGACGCGACACTGACGAGAAGGTCAAAGACCCAAGAGTGAACTTCCAGCACGCTACTGGAGCACTTACATAAGACATTCCATTGTGACGTTGCAATTGCCATCATTATGCTGGGATATGGATACTTAGGCAGGTAGTTGGAGGTGATGAATCCCCTAACACTGAACACTCTATTTGTCATCTCTGCGAACAAGATCTAGGGAACTCTCTCATCAACAGTTACCATTGTAGACCAAATGGCATAAGATACTCTGAACTCGGTACCTACTTCATACACTCACGGATATTGGAAGATATTCTAGTACTCCACCCAAAATTTGCTAGTGTGGGGTAAGTAGATTAGACTCGCATCTCATGTTTTAGAGATGTTAAGTAAACAAAATCAATATTTAAATGGTCGCGACGATACTGAGCAGCATAGGAAAATATAGTGAGTTCCATGTAGAGAGAAACGGCATGAGAGGCTCTAGCCAGGAACTGGAAACACGACTAGAATGACGCCTCCCGAATAGTCATGAGCCCGAGGCGTTGCGGATGTACCTTGACCTCCTTCAACACCTTCGTCTTCCACTGCATTCGACTCCACCATAACCCGCTGCCTCGCCTCATCCCATCTACTACCCTAGCATAACCTTTCCTGCACCTCCCCACACTCCCTGCCCTTCACCCCTCTTACCTTCTCTGTCCCTGATTTGAATGATGTGTGTTCCCCGTAGACGTTTTCAAGAGTTTTACTCGCATTACCAGGGCTAAGCTTTTCTGGTGATAACGTGATCAATCAGGCTATTGCTTGTGTCAGCCCACAGACTCATGTCCATCATAATCTGGCTGATTCAGCACGAATTTGTTCAGTTCCCCTTGAAAACACCTAAATATTTCCGGAAATATTTCCGGTAATAGGTGGAAGGAGGTTGAAGAGCCACGTATGTTCATACAATGTTGTCTGACTGTGCCTAAGATGCACCTACTCTTCGCGAAATTTGAGTGGATAATTTGTAGGTAATTTACACTATATGAAGCCACAATATGCAGAGCGTTTCGGTCATAACATAAAGATAATTGCTGCTCACCATAGCACGGGCTATGGTGAGCCCGTAAATTGCCCGTATCATCCCTCTCTTTTATGTCAATTGCCTCTCACCACCACACCTACACTTCCATAATCGTTTGGAAATATGTAATTTTAGGCTATATATCTTCACAACGTTTTCATAGCGTATCTTAGTCCCCCTCCCCACAAACTTTTCTTAGAAATCCAAATATTACACGGATATCCTGCTCAGTGGGGTAGGCTTAGATACAGTATATTCAAATAATAACCAACCCTGACTTTAACTAAAAACCACCCCTCCATAACCGTCACCCCCCATAACTGCCACGCCCCACAACAGTCATCCATCCCCCCTCCCCACACTCGCCATCCACCCCCCTCCCCACAATTGCCATCAACCCCCCTCCCCACAATTGCCATCCACCCCCTCCCCACCATTGCCATCCACCCCCCTCCCCACAATTGCCATCAACCCCCCTCCCCACAATTGCCATCAACCCCCCTCCCCACAATTGCCATCCACCCCTTCCCCACAATCGCCATCCACCCCCTCCCCCACAACTGACATCCACACCACAAAGTTTCACAATTGTAAGGTAAGTTGCAGTTATTTTTTGATAGTTTTAAACATATGGCAAGGCTGACCCGTACTTTTGTACATCTGAAGTATCTTGGTGGTAATGTGTGATCTTACTAACAATGAGGTCGTGAATGGACTACAACTTAGGGCTGTCAGATGGCATGGGGCGGCGTACGCTTCCTGGTGTCTGGCAGTTTAATAATGACAATGTTCGAGGAAGCCTGTTAGACCAGGTCCAGAAGCCGCTGCCTCTGCCATTGACTCGTCTGTCCACTAGAGATGACCGACTTCTTCACCCGGTCCAGTGTTAGTCTAGCGCTTCTAGCTACTGCGGCTTCCTCTAATTCTTCACTAATGATCTGGGGGACATGTTTTCGACAATACTATTTGTGATATACGCCAATCTTTTTCCCTGGTCCAGGCTTTGAGTGTTCATCACGAAATATTGGTAAGGGAAGGTGCCCGTGCATCATGATTGCCGATCAACCCGTTCTCCTGAGTAGTATATTGCATTGTGACGTACAATTTCTCATAAGGCCAAAATCTAATGTACTAAATGGTAGCGACTCTCAAAATTGACGTGATGTCCCGTTTTCTGTTCGTGGGTCCTCGGATAGGTTAGGTTCGGGCAATTTAGTATAACGGTTTATAACGTTGGGAATGCACGGGTGAACGCGTTAGCCATAATGCATCCAGAGTTTGACAGTGCAGACTACTGATCACATTGCCCTGTATGACTAACCATCCTGTGTGATGAGGGTGTTTAACATCACGTAGCTAGTTCTTGACACACTGTACTGCCCTTCATATAGTCTAGAGCAGATGCACAAATGCAGATGTATTAATAAAAAAAAATTATTGGTTCCGGGCATGATGATAATACGTGTTGTCGGGGCCAAGAAGCCTGTGTGTATATATATAGCATTTAGGTTTGTATCATGGTCCCCCCATAAGGAGAACTACTGACCTTCACTGGGATGCAACCCCATAACAGTTGCCTAACTTTCAGGTACCTATTTACTGTTAGGTGAAAGGAAATGAGCCTCAACTATTTCTGTCCCACCCCAACCCGTTCTCGGACCAAGTCCATTCTATCCAACAATGGATAGAATACATTTTAGAGATGGATCGCAGTGAGGGTGCTGATGTGCCAGCTAAAAACCTTGACCAGTATTTAAGACGTCTAGGAGTGATTCGGTACAGCACATCAACATCAATGATTAACCTTATTTGGGACAGGAGTGCTGGCATGATTCGTGTAACTCCACCTAGTATCCCCTACATTGGTCCATTCAATGTTCCTCCCCTCCCCCTACTCCCTATTGAAGCAAAGGCGCAGGTATCTCTCCTTAGACTTTCTGACCATCCTAATGCCAGCCGTATATGATATTGTTGCTTCTCCAGCCGGGGTTCAGCCATAGAGCCTTTCAAGCATAATCACATGGACGTAGCCTGGCTCCACTGGCTGATCGACCAAGAACTTTATCCGGACCTGCCATTCCTCTCTTACTGAATGACTGCTGTTGCAATGACACGGCTTAAGAGTAGGGTAAAACTAACCTGTCTCTGGGTCGAGTTTGAGGAGCGACTGGGTGCCAGTCCTAAACTGTTTGCTCCTGCTCACCCAGCATAATTGGGTAATAATTAATTATGGTAATAATAATTACTGTATTACCCAATTACTGCTGAATGAACAGAGGTGAACAGTTTAGGGTACTGGAGGGTAACCAATTGATGGGTCATGTTCCGGGGAAAACTAGTACTGTATGGTAAGGTTGATGATGAGCTATGTGAAGAGGGGGGAGTCCAGAAGCATCAGACTTTGAATACAGCTTTTTGCATGCTACAATACTGTGCAGTACAGTATTTACAGACCTACACTGTAGTACTGTATACCTTTTATAATTTAGATTATGGTTATGCTTATCTCTTTGTTAATATCATCTTGAGATTACTACTTACATTCCTTAAAGTTTAATTATTCAAAATATTTTCCTCTGCTATACAAGCTTAACAGGTTTACAATTGTCCTCTCTCCCAGCACATACCTGTACTGTGACTATATTCTCGTATTGCAGTTTAAACTCCAAAATAATAAAAAAAGGCCTCTGTTGAAACTGCTTGCTTCTTGTCCGTAAGTACAAGAAGCAAGTAGTGTGTGCTCTAAGTGCTATTATAGTCATACCAGCTTAGTGTTTTCTCCTTATACTTACCTGCATAAACCTCGCAATACTTTCACATGAATCTGCCCACGATAAATGCACCCTATTCCCTATCATTCATGTCAAATATGGCAATTGTATTAAGTATTTGCAATACTGTAGTAATTGTCCAACTGGTAGTTTATACCAATTGCCCTATAAAAGCCAGGTAAAAAAAATATATATGCAGGCAGGTAGCTAGGCACAGACATAATCAGACATGAAAACCCCAAAACACCAATCAAGAAACAAAGAGGAAGTGATATTAAACAAACAGTAATGTTTCCCACTGCTACATTTCCCGAGCTTGGTATTACAGCTACTTGATCACAAGATAGCAAGCACCACATTTATTTTGGCTTGGTGCCTTCTTTTGATAATTACTGTACTTACCACATTTATTATTTTCACTGTTGACAGACTTTGCGGGCAGGTGAGGAAATCCAGATGGTTGCATTCCAGCAGAGGAAGACTCGCATTAAGGAGGTGTGCACTGCATGGGGGGCTTACTCTACTAAGGCCAAGTTTCTGAAGACTGGCCGCACGGTCACAGGAGACAAGATTAAGGATGAGATAGTTAGAGACAAGACAGATCTCTCACAGTCACAGCTAGAGAGACTTTGGCAGCTAAATAAAAGGTGAGAAAATATTAATTTACAGTATTTCAGGAGAGGGAACATGTTCACTGAGGAGAGAGAATAGGGGAAAAGAGAGGGTGAGGGGAAAAATTATTTTGGGTAATACTGAACAAAAGACAGTGTATATTTTGCTGGTGCTTCTGGCTGCCACTCACTGTAACACATGTCAAGCATGTGTGCTAGAATGTAATGAGCATTGGACTAAAACCTTTCTATTAACTATGAAATGCTTTCCAAACCCCCCTTCCTCCATATACAAAATTTGAAGTATAGAAAATAAAATACTATAATATAATTATTATTTATCAGCCATATTCACATACAGTATCAATGCTGTACTGTAAAACCAACACACTATTGCAAGACCTAATTGAACCACTCTGCTTCAAAGAAATGATGTGGCACAAGTCTATGCATAGACTATCAACATTAGTAAGACTGGAATTAAGATCATAAAACCTAAATATAAATACTGTAGCTTTCTTTTTATAGTTAACACAGTGTGCTCCTGCCTGTATTACATAATCCTTCAATTCATTATTTTTGCACTGTGATGAGTATTTAATTACCGGGTATATGAGTACTGTATTTAATTAATTGTAGTTACAGGATGAGAGCTACACTCGTGTCCTGTCTTCCTAGTAGTCTTTGTTTCAAAGTGTTATATGACAGAGTACTGTACTGGGAAGACGGGACACCACGAGCGTAGCTCTCATCCTGTAACTACACTTAGGTAAATATATACTCATCATAGTGCATAAATGAATTGAAGGATTATGTAATAAATGCAGGAGCACACTGCCCCTTATGCTGTAATTCTTCCCTCCTATGGTTAAATAATGGAAAGGGAAGTCTATCTCCCAGTGTTTCACACACTTCAGAAGTGACAGAATGACCAGGATACATAATATTATACATAAAAGAACTTGACTATAACCAGCAACAAAGAATTTAATAACATCGGATGTTCAGCAGAGGCTTGTGAATCATGGGATGTTCAGAACCATACAGAATCGGTATGGTTCAATATGCGAGTTGTTTGTAACTCGGTTGTTTCCACAGTCCAGATGAAGGCGAATGATATGCACAAGGCCCAACACGATGATGTGAACAGGGCAGCTAGAATGAGAAATCCTTTGGACCCCTGTCAAGTTGGCTGTCCCTGAATAGCTGGCATCATCTAGTCTAGATATTGTATGATGGTCAGTGTACAATGTCATATTAAGCTATAAGTCGAGGAAACTTTATTTAGCTTAGATAATTACCAAGTGTAGTTACAGGATGAGAGCTATATTCATGGTGTACGTACCGTCTTCCTAGCACTCTGTCATATAACACTTTGAAATTACTGACAGTTTTGGCCTCCACCACCTTCTCATCTAACTTGTTCCAACTGTCTACCACTCTGTTTGCGAAAGTGAATTTTCTTATATTTCTTCTGCAGCTTTGATAAAATCTATGACCTCTTGTTCTTGAAGTTCCAGGTCTCATGAATTCTTCCCTATCAATTTCGTCGATTCCCGTTACTATTTTGACCCTGCCAGTGGTCTCGGATAGAGGAATGAATGAGTGGGTAAAAATCAGAATAAGGAATACCTTTTGGTGAAATAGGACAGGTGCAGATAGCCTCCTTAGTGGCATTATTTGCATGTTTAAGGTAACACCAATATGACTGGGAACCCAGCATAACACTGTCTTAACACCAGTCTTAAATCTGCTGGAGATAAGAAATGGTAAATGTTGAATTTTGACCCACCTAAGCTCTCAAAAGTCAAGTCTGGCTCCTGGCCAGGCTTGGGGAGTACAAAAATGCCCAGATCCTCATTCAGGTATAAACCAGGTATCTGACCAGTCATAAAATGTTCACTGTTATATGCCAAATTAGTAATATTTTGGCCATTTGTGCTGCAAATTTTAATGAAATACAAATTGCCACTGTAATTTTCACAATAAATTTGTGCCTTAATGCATTAATTCAGTCATGCATTATTTGAAAAATATACACTTTGCTGCTATTGATTGAAATTATACTACAAGTGCATATTTTTAAATTTGATTTTGTTTCTAGTGAAACTGAGAATTAAATATTCAGCTAACAGGGCACAACTATTCTGCAGGTCAACATTTCATCAGATGTTTGTGGATCAGCAGCATGGCCTTACTTGGTGTAAGGTTCCTAAGGCAGCAAGCACTAGTTGGCTTCATGCATTTCTTGAGGTGAGTCTAATGGCCTTGATTTACAAGAAAAAAAAAGGGGGGGGGACATGGAGTAAAAGGTGGTGGATGGTAGAATTGAGTTAAAAAAAATCCCAATACTGTAACTGATACAACTAGGATTCATATCTGGAAAAACACACCTGACATGGCATTCATTATGAGGCAGAGTAGACAGTAATTATAGATAATATCAGAATGTTTTGTACATTTATTGATCCTAAAAAAAAGTAATCTTAGAGGGCCCCACAGTAGGTGATGCCTCAACAAGAGGGAGTTCTGACATAAGCTTGTATGTCAGAACATACATGTATGTTGCTTGTTCTGACCCAAAAGCTTCCAGAAAGAGTAAAATGACAGTGTATTCTATGGAAAATTAAAGAATCATTGGAAGCTATGGTTTCCCGTTTTTGGGGTCCTGAAGCCTGCTTATAGGCTCTTCAGTCTCCCTTGGCCAGCTACTTGCCTTCCTGCAATAAGTTTTTGTTCAATTAAGACCAGATCTAAAAAGTAACTAGCAAAGTCTTCTTGTGCTACAAAAGGAAGATCAAGAAAGATTGAAAGTACAGTACTATATATAAGGATTGTCATTATTAATATATCACAGCTTGGTAATGCAGTGAAAATTATCTTCCATGTGCCTGAAATTTAGTTTTAAAATGAGGGAGACAAAAATATGAATAGTGAGTCGTAAAAAATAAAGTAAGATGGAGATAAGACAAGACTGGTCTAACCATCTACCTAAAATGGAACTGGGTCACATGAGTGACAAAAGTTTGATGTTCAATAAGGCATACAGCCCACATGATAAACCAACTTGAACCATGTGAGTTACAGGCTTTGTATATGGGGAACCTTTGATAAATTTTAAGTAAAAAGGGGATTTTATTTAATTACATGTGTTCTTTCAGATAGCAGGAGTGCAAGATATATCATCAAAGGATATGGCAGGGAAGCATGCTTTGCTAAGAGAAAGATACCCACTCTTGACTACTGCTCTGTTAAAGCGTACCATACCAACTACAATGAAGTTTATGGTTAGTGTTTAGCTGTTAATAAATTTTTGTTTCAAGGCTTCATTATACATGTACAAGTACTGATAAAAATCTTAATTTTGCAGGTATACCACCAATGTATTGAAAACTTGAAGGCTCTTTCCCGTATTTCTGACATACTGTACAGTAATCCTTACTCCTAAAAATTTACTCAGCAGTCCTCAAACAAGCATTCAAATATCAACAACGTATACCTGCCTTCTCTCCTGTATATCATGTTTTGATGATTTTTTTTTTCTCAGCTGTAAGCTTCTGCTGTTATTTTTAAACAAGACCCATGGTGCTCCTGTCGTTTGTGAATGATTTAATATGCCTCATTATATTCAAAGTTACAAAATAATCTGCGGTGTTACTCTACACTATAAACCTTTAATAATCGTTTGTCAACTTGGAGGAAAAAATCCTGAAAGCCTTAGCTAGCTTCCTGGGCATTATTAAAAAATTGCCACCATTACAGGTGCACCATCCATTTACTAATGCCTCTCTTTGGAAACATTAATGCTATGCAGAATTCCAAGAGCTTTTATGGGCCAGGAAGATATTTGTGATAATGAGAAATCGATTAAAATAATTTGCATGAAATTAATATTCAGAATGACGAAAACATTTCTTCCTCACTAAGGTAAACTAAATTAAAAAAATTTCCATTCATCAGAAATGTTTTATGATCTAAAGAGTTTTTTTTTTATATATATAATTTTGGTTTGTTTTATGTCCACCTAAAAAGGGACCTAAAACTTGGTGCACAGTTTGAAGGCTAAGATCAGATCTGTTGTCTGGACAGGACCGTAGTCAGTCACGATGCTATTCAGGCACCAGCCTCGTAGAAAACTTTCAGATCGTGCTTGTAGGGTTATGATTATGTGGGGTCACTGAAGAATACTCATTCCAATCCAAAATGATCAGGAAAAGTTCATTTAAAATTCATTTATTCAATATTCATTTAAAAAATATTGAAGCCCTTCCTAATCTTTCCTTGGCATCATAGGTGACTGTCAAAGAGTTTAGTTTACCTGTTAGTTTAACTGCCAGTTTAGTAGGTGTCAACTGGATTTCAGTGATTTAACTGTGGGTTTTATTGTTCTGGGACTTTTTAATCTTGTGTTTAATAACCTGTTAACAGACCAGGCCTTGGAGTGTGTTTACAGGTCTTTGAGTGGCCCCTGAAGTATTTCTTGACTGTAATTTACTTTGTTCAGGGCTTGTATGTTCCTTGGTGCAAAACAGTGGATTAACTTCTCAGATTTTACTTCTTTATTATTTACTGTCCACTGCAACATCAGACAGGTATGTAGGCATTTGTTTGCTGCTCACTGGGTGCATTCAGCCATTACTTCACTTGTCCATGTGAGCACATTGTTCTGAGGATGCTTGTGACACGAGAATATACACAAATAATACATTTTTTCTGCCAGCTGAGTAGCTGGCAGAAAAATGTATTATTTGTGTATATTCTAGTGTCACAAGCATCTCTCATTTCTTTGACGATTTGACAGTTTGATTAGTGATTGCCAGCCATTTGTATCTTGGCACAACATCGTAGCTATGAGGAGGCCTCGTAGCCTAGTGGATAGCGCGCAGGACTCGTAATTCTGTGGCGTGGGTTCGATTCCCGCACGAGGCAGAAACAAATGGGCAAAGTTTCTTTCACCCTGAATGCTCTTGTTACCTAGCAGTAAACAGGTACCTGGGAGTTAGTCAGCTGTCATGGGCTGCTTCCTGGGTTGTGTGTGTGTGTGTGTGTGGAAAAAAATAGTAGTTAGTAAACAGTTGATTGACAGTTGAGAGGCGGGCCGAAAGAGCAAAGCTCAAACCCCGCAAACACAACTAGGTGAATACTAGATGAATACAACAGGCTTCTTTGTACTGCAGTCAGGAGTGGAGGACATGATTTGTCCATGGCTTAGATCTTGTTTTGTATCCCACTTTATGGCAAGTAAGTAAATATAAAAAAATGACACCAAGCCTGGGAGACTATATAGCACCATCAGTGTTGCTGGATATTCAAAAGGCACCAAAATTCACAAGATGCCAATACTAAAACAAAAGTGCATAGGAAAAGCAATATCGGAGGTATCAGATTCGCAAAGGATTCTATCGAGGGACAAATGACCACAAGACATTTGCAAAGAAAGACACATGAACATCCTGAAAATCGGGACATTCTATAAGAATATGCAAAACTGTAAAAGGAACAATGCAGTTGGGCAACAAAGAGGAGGGCGGTGTTCCATTAAGTGCCAGCGAGTTTTAAATCTGTTAGTGATAAGAAATAGTCAATATTGGATTTTTGACTACCACAGGATTCATAGGATTACATGACTCCAGAGCCATGAGAGCACTGCAAGAGTCAACCAAAGGTTACACAACTTGGGATTCCACTGAATCCTTGAGAAGTCTGGAGGGCTCTACTGAAGCTAATATAACTTGTACAATATCGTGTTACAGAGGTAAAGTGCACAGCTCATCACTGGCTCGAGTCACCTCATTGCTCCAATTGATTTTCTCAACAGCATTATTACTGTATTGTAGTCAACTTTTAATTTAATTCAAAGATAGCTTTATAATTTTCCATCTCATGATGTTATGTTTTTTGTTTAGGTGGTTCGTCATCCATTCGAGCGTGTTTTATCAGCATATCGAGACAAACTGGAAGATTATAAACGAGATTTAAAGGACAGGTAAAGACAAAAGTTATAAAAATGGTTCCTAAGATAACTGCTGAAAACTTGTTAACATTGGACAAGAATTGTTACATGCTTTTTAACTGTTTCAAAATCATAATTGTTAAAGTATTTATGATGTGCAACAAATCTTAAAAATTTGAAAACAACAAGTACTGTACTATAATTTGATGCAAGGGATTTGATATTAAATGCCAAATTTGTTGTTTTTAAAGTACAATATTATCAGTAAAGCTACTGTAATATAATTCCAGCTAAGTTAATAACCTAATTATTTTATTTTTATGCATTACTTTATAGGCAAGCATTTTTTTAATACTTTTCTATTCTGTATCTTTCAGGGGCGGATATTATTATGCGATCTATGGAAAAAGAATCGTCAAAGCCTACCGTAAGTCCAGCTCGAGTGATGATCACAGTTATACCAGAAAGGAACCCACGTTCCGGGAATTCATCCAGTATCTTCTTGACACAGATGTAGAAGAATATGATGAGCACTGGAGACCAATCTCCCTCTTGTGTACTCCATGCCACATACGTTATGATATCATTGCTAAAATGGAAACTCTTTCAAACGATGCAGAGTTTATCCTCTACCACCGTGGCCTTTCCAGTGCTGTGCACATGGAGTGGTCTCACAAAACAGACCAAACAAAGAGAACCTCTGATGTTGCCAAGACATATTTTTCCCAGTTGACTTCAAGTGAAGTAAAGCAGCTTTACTATAAATATATCATAGACTTCTTGATGTTTGAATATGAGCTGGAGCCTTATATGAAACTGACTGCATCTCCAATAAATAATTCACTTAGTGTAGATGAAGATGAAGAAAGTGAATATTATAATGAAGATGATAATGAAGAGGAACAAGATGAAGATGATGTGGAAGAAGTAGTTGATGCCAAAGAAAATGAATATGAAAATGAATATGAGAATCAGGCAGCGGAAGAGACGGGTGCAGACACACTTGAAAATGGAACAGCTAATAATGACGTGTAGCTAGGAGAGTCTTTACTTGGGAGAGAAGTGGATAAGGATTTCTAGATCTCAGAATCATGGTTAGGCTGTGACTATATCCATTCATATCAAAGATTATATCCACACTTTTTAGTGCTATTGCCTAAAAAACAATGTGTAAAGTCCAACCCATCCTATGAAAATGATAGTACTGTCTACTTTTGTTGATCTAAATCATATGGGGTCCACCCCATACAAGTTAGCCAAATTGTTTCCTGGGAAAGTCCAAAAATGAACATATTTTAATTTGTTGTATTGTAACCAACATTATTTGTATTTTGACATGCAATAAACATAAATTTACCTGGTTAGGGAAGATTCTTTATATATTTACAGTAAGTACAGTATTCAAAATAATTTATCGATAACAAATTTCAACTTGCCTTATTAGTTCGTCAGCTTGCTCAACGAAGGGCTTTAATATTGTTCATTTACCCAACCTAACACAATACAACATTAAAATTACTGTACATGAGCTTTGCAAGGTCAGTTTTTAACTGCCAGGTGCTAAGGCCTCATTGAGTGAAGACCCTTGGCAATCTGGGGAGGTTTTGCTGGTGTAAGACTTTTTCTTTATACATATCAGAGATGGTATTCGCACTCTAGACCATAATCATGGACAACACTTACAGCAGAGCAAAAATTTTCACAAAGTTTAATCACGTATAACTTCTTTGGATAGCGTAACTTGCTTCCTCTTAACACCTCTACGTCAATTGTGGCTGCTACAGGACATATTCTTAGTAAAAAAAAATTAGCAGTTTCTATCGAAACAAAACCTTTCAAAAACAGTGTGGCACTGTGGTATCACATGAGAGGGGATGGAACACACGGGTGTGCAGCTTGACTTGGCCTCAAGGTCAAATGACTAACTTTCCCCAGAATGCAACCTCACAGTAGTTGACCGATTCCTGGTACCTATTTAATGCTTGTTAACAGAGGCATTAGGTATAAGGATACATGCCCAACCATTTCTGTCCTGCCTGGATTCGAACCCGAGATTCCAGATTGTGAGTCAAGAACAGATCAAATTGTGTTTTAAGCCTAGGACAGGCTAGGTCGTAATTAGGTCTTTTCTTTTATGCACTTTAAAATTCACATACTACAAAATGAGGACTTTTTTTTTTCTAAGTCCACATTTTGTCCATTCCATCCATAGTTGCTAAAGTAGTACCATTTTCAGAGGAGTGGTTGGATTAAATCATATCTGTTGTTAACTAGATTTGAATATTGTTACTGAGATAAATTAATTTATATTAGTGCTGCATATAAGTAATAATTGGGGTATTATTTACTGATGACACATTGTTCTACTCAAGACAATAATTGCTGTTTGAGATGTGATTTTGTATGGCACAGGAATATCATCACTAATCAAAATGCTATGAAATTATTTTTAAGTTCAGTGTTAGGGGGACACCTAGACAATCATCATTACAAAAATTATGTTAAGGGCATGGACAGTCATTACTATAAGTATGATGATATAATGTTAGGAACACCAAAAATGGCATCACTTCATAAGATATAAAAGTGATGTTTTAACTAAATGTAAGGGACATAGAGGTGCTTATTACAGCATAAGAAGTTTATAGATTTAATTACTAGATATAGAGAATTTTTTATTGTTTAGCCACAGTTTGTGTGGTGTGGGCTTTCACTGGCAAGAGCATTGTAGTCTGTGATATGTTATTAATGATACAGAACCAGAGCAGCATCAAACATGTTTAACCCTCTGCAAACTGTGTTTCTAAAACCTGATTACCCTTCCAGGGCTAAATTTGTCTAGTATGATTGCAGATGATAAATAAAATGTTTTGAAGTCAAATATTTACATAATTTTGCAAGGGTAGATTGCCATATTTTATCTGCTAGCCCATTTCAAGATTTCACAAAAATTCAAAACAGTGCACAGTAAAGTACAGTACAGTACTACATTTCTATACACATTTGAATACAGTACAGTACTTACAAATATTTTTTTTAAGATTAAATAAATTTTGTGAGGTATGCATTCAACAGTAAACATTTTTGAATGATTAAATTAAGTGTTTTGTACTCACGTAGTTGTGCTTGCAGGGGTTGAGCTTTGGCTCTTTGGTCCCGCCTCTCAACTGTCAATTTTATAGACATATGAGAATAGCCCAGGAATCAAGTGATATCGAACAGCTTATGAGGATTTAATGATTTGGCTTCATGTAATGCCTGCAATATGCAGACGGTTAATATATACTGGTGCTGTGCTGTTTATTCCATAACTACTTTTTAAGCTCAATTTTAAGTATTTAAGTTGTATACTGTATGTTGTGCCTAAACACTGGTAATTTTAATGATTGGCCTGAGAGCCTACAGGTATTAATTTTGTACATTAATGAGCATTATAGTCACTGATCTATTACCCATGGATCAGGTATTTGAGTCAAATGACTTTTACAGCCAGGATGTAAAAGGATGTAGATAATGTTCCTCATACAGAATATGACCTCTAGGATATACCAGAACACACCAAATTGATTGAGGTTAGATAAAAATACATATAATTTAAATCAACATGAAATATTCATAACTTTTGCATTGTTTTCATCAGTACAGTAGTCAATTAACCAATGAATTTATCTGATTGTGACCTGAAAACTAATTTCCATATCTAGTTGAATTTTTGGAGCCCCCTTGACATAGATAATAGATTAGTGACTATTCGTTGTGTATATGAATATGATGATGAATCTATTGTATTTTATATTATTTAAATAATTGGTTGTACTCACCTAGTTGTGCTTGTGGGGGTTGAGCTTTGGCTCTTTGGTCCCACCAAATATTTACATAATTTTGCAAATGGTGTATGACTCAATCTTGCTCTCAAAAGGTGGCAGACAAGCCTTCAGGCAGCCTTATGTAAACACTATTCTAGTCTGCTCTCTTTTGCATAGCTTCACGGGGTGACCTTGACTTTGTGTACTTCAAATCTGTATAACAGAATGGTGTGTTTTAATCCTTGTTATCCATTCCAACTACCACCCTATGTGTTGTTATCCACTCCACCAACTACTGTACCATGTATCTGTTGTTATCCACTCCACCTACCACCCTGCATTTGCTGTTATCCACTCCACCTACCACTCTAGATCATCTGCCAAGTACTATATTGTATGCAGTTCTGGCTTTCATAAAATTTACAATGTTCTATTGCTGGGCCTCGAGCCTTAAATATCCATCCATATATATTCTGGGAAATCTACTAGTGTATGCCATCCTCGGTGTCTGACCTTTTGTAATCCTAACCTAAGAAATCTCCCCCCCCCACTCCATTTATTTTAGACCTTCAATATCATTATTTGAAGGAAACTGATGTGGGTAAAATTTTACTCCATGAATCTTTTTAGGTAGGTTGTTTTATCAGCTCTCAATTAAATGTCTTCAAGGAACTCTTGCAGTCAGAGCTGATAGTAATTTTGCAGTATTTAATAATCTGAATTATATTTTTTGATCCATGGGTTGGGTTAAAGAAGTGGTATTAAGAAGCAAACAGTTAATTTAGAAACTTCAACTGTATGAATTCATCATTGTGCAGATGAGCTAAGCTGTTATCCAGCCATAAGCTATTTCTAAAATGCCTTCACCTCTAGAACAAATTGGTGATTTTAAAAGGGATATACTTTGTGTTTTTGAATGTTCTTGGATGCTTGTTTTTACAAATTTGTAACAATTTGCACTTCTATAACCCAGCTGCACAATAACCACCTCTGTGTTGCTTGTAACCCACCCAGTGTCAATTTCTTCATAGAGAGCTGAAATGGATGTGAACATGTCATCACAAACCAGTCTCGTCTGAATTATAAATTTGCATCGGTCAATTGCCTCTGCCTATTGATCAAAACACATGCCATAATATTTATTAAACATTTATACTGTATTCTATAAGTTTTACATAAATTCCTCATTATTGTTCATGTGCTTGTGGAAGTCCTTAACTTTTTCACCAATCCAAAGCCCTATACTGGAGTGTTGGTTCCAAAACATTTTTGTCTACTATTCCCATACAACATTGTAAAAAACCACTGTATTTTGGGCTTGTCACCTTCTGCACGGTGTTTCAGTATACATTTTCTTGGTGGTTGAATAGAGCATAAAGTGCTTACAATGATTATCATAATCTCCAGGTAAAGATGATTTTATATTATAGATGACATTTTGTACTTCAGAGGTTTTTAAAGTCCTATTTGAAATACAGTAGTACTCCTAGGTATTCTCTTGGTCTAAATTATGATGAAATAAACCTCCCGCCAAACACACACCGAAACTACGACGTTGGTACAACGTTCCAACAAGTTTTAACACCTCCTAGCCAGTTATAACAATCGATATAGCAAGTTGTAACAACATTCTAATACGTCATAAGCACGTTAAGCCAAGATGTAGCAACTTTATTATAAGTTGTTACAAGCGGAAAATAGAGACAGTTTCGGTTTGTTTCCAGGGCTAATGCCTAGAGCATCTCAAAGTAATGAACAAATTGCAACCATTAAAGTAATGAGATAATGGGAGAACTTAAAAAATGATGGCAAGATATAACGATTAAGAAATAGAAGCAAAGGTTGTGCAATACGGGAGAATTTTGTAGATCATACAGTAGAGGTAGCAAATAAAATAAAAAAGTTTATTTTACGGCTAACTGTCTTTGTGTACTTGAATATTATACAACTGCCATAAGTGGTTGTATAGTATTCATAAGGTATTTATAGGGTCAATTACAAAATTTGTACATATATCTTTTCTTAACACTTTCGCAGGCCAACGTCGATCGCTCGACCTGTCCAAGTGGTTTTGGGCATTCCGCGGGAGTGCGTGGTAATACTGAGAAGTGTATACTCTTTTCAACTTTCGTCACCTTAATTCTCGTCCTAGGATTTTCAATTTTGTATCAATTTGTTTGCAATAGAATGTTCTACATGGCTAAAAGCATGTACACTCCAAAAGCCCGGCTTATGACCCGCAGCAAATGGAGAATGTGAGAGAAAGTTACCCGGGAGCGCGCAAGAGCGATAAAGTGTACACTCTTTTTCACTTTGGTCACCTCAATTGTCGTCTTAGGTCTTTCATTTTGGTATCAATGCGTTCGCAATAAAATTCCCAACAGGAGTATATGCATATAATGTCAAAAACTGTGGCGAGCTCCACCCGCCAACGTGATGAGAGCAGGGAGGAGTGCCGGGCCTTCCATTAGAGCGCGGTAATACTGAAAAGTGTATACTCTTTTCAACTTTGTCATCTCAATTCTCATCCTAGGTTTTCCAATTTGATATCAATGTGTTAGCAATAGAATTCTCTACACGATTAAATGCATATGAAGTCCGAAAGCCCAGCATACCACCCGCACAAAACAGAGAAAGTGACAGAAAGTTACCCGGGAGCGCTAAAGAGCAATGAAACGAGGACTCTCATTTCACTTTGGTCTTTCATTTTTGTATCATTGTGTTCGCAATAGAATTCCCTACAGAATTATATGCATACATAAAGTCCAAAAGTCCGGCGTATCACCCACAGCAAACAGAGAAAGTGACAGCGCGTTACCTCCATGAATGCTCATCAAGAGCAATAAAATGGGTTTTCTCTTTTTAACTTCGTTACCTCAATTCTCGTCCTAGGTCTTTCATTTTGGTATCAATGTATTTGCAATGAAATTCCCTACAGGAGTACATGCATATAATATCCAAAACCGCAGCACGCCTCTCCTGCATCCAAGCCGAAAGCGGGCCAAATTTTTTTATATTTTTGACGCCATACTTCGTCATCAGTGGAAATAAGGTACTAAAATTTTGACTCCACACTTCGTCATCGTTGGGTGAAAGTGTTAATTATAGCAGATTAGCCTGTATTTATTAAACATTTTACGAGCTTTGAAACACTGAGGTTCGTCTTGATCAAATGTTATTGCTATAAATAATCTTGTAGCTCATTTTACAAAATTATAAGTAAACAAAGCCACCATGATTGATGAAAGATGTACAGATTTCGTAAGTTCACACGTAAATGCTTGATGAATCCTGGCCCTTGACATCCACATATGAGCATACAGGTGGATGATCGACTGCTTGATTTAAATTTTAAATGTAATTACAATACTTAGTTAAATTTTAAAGCAATAAAATGTTTTAGTACACTATTCAAAACTTAGCATATTGTCAGTCTACTGTTACATGTTAATAAGTAGTCAAAGGATATGGTGGCCAGTGCAATACTTCTGTAGCCTAATGCACATTATTCAAGTATCTAAATTCAGTACTGTGTGCAGATTTGAGTAAAGCTTTGCTTTATGCTTCAGTCTTATAAGTAAAACTGTCACTCATACCAAAATTTAAATAAGAGTCTCTTAGTCAATAAACTCTTAAACTTGCAACTAAGTATGGCATACTGCAAATTGTCTTGGTGCTGTTTATTCTTATCAAGAGCTTTACAAAATACAATGTAATTCAATGACTGACAAAGTACTGCCTTGTTATTTTCTTTGCAGTTGCCAAATTAATTTATCAAAGGATAGGTATCACTGTACTAGATTTTCATATCAAAAGATGCATGTACTGTAGTCTTTATAATTGTTTCCTAATTTACAAGAAGGATTAATATAATAAGAGTACTTGTGTTAAGAAACTAGGTGCGAATTTACAACTAAAATTAGACATGTGCAGCCTTGTTTAATTTGCAAGAACAAAGTTAGATAAAAGTTCTTGTAAGTATTATTACCGTTTGGCTTGCCTTTTATTATAGTTTAAGAAAGTTTCTTTACTACCACCCATCTCATATTATAGGCTCATTGGCCTCTAAAAACTATAAAATTAATGGCATTTTCTTTGTCCATTACCTGTATTAATCATAATGCTTAAATAGGAGTAATTAACAAAAAATACACATGTATGAAGATGGTGAATAAAAAAAAAAAAAAAACACTGACTGTAATGAAACGCCATTTTCTGGGTAAGTCCCGGAGGCTCCCCGGCAAGCCTCCTTCCCTCCTCTCTGCTTTTTTTTTTTTTTCGCCATTCAGCCTCTGAACTGAGGTTGGACAGCTGGCACAAGTCTAAGGCTCCCCTTCCCTGGGAGGGGGAGCTGCACAGACAGGCTAGATGTGGGGTGGGGGGTATGATATCTTACTTGTTTTTAGATTGGGGAGTTCTGCTTAGCAGTTCGGTTTTCAGTAGCAATGTTTCACCAGTTGGTCTGTTTTGAGATGCCTACCTTTTTGGGCGCCTAACTCGGTACATGGCAGACATAGAATGCTTCCAACCACATGGAGGTTTCTATAGGTCATTGCTCCTCGTGCCTCTCTGAGAGGACCCGGTTCTGGCTCGTGGTCCCTTGGAAGGCTTAGAATGCCATTCGAATTGACTGATGCCACAGTCTAATACATACATATCAGCCCAGTATAGCTCCAGGGAGCCAGAAGGGCTCTCCACAGAAAAATTGAGTTATGATGGCAATTAAAATGAGTACAACTGCACTATGAAGTTCCTCAATATTGGCACGTTATCAAAGATAAGCAAACCTATGAAGGTTAAACATTAAAATATCTTGTTCACATGGCATAAAGCACTTCTATAGATTATTGAAAACCACTGAAAAAAATAACCAAGCAAATTAATATGAATATTTATTTACTAGAACTAGATACAGCATTATACTGTTAAGTCGTACATAACCATATAAATGTGAACTATGTACCATATACATATTTACCAGTTTATTTTTTATACTTCATTCCCATATTACAATCTTATTATGAATTGATGCCAATGAATTTGAAAGGAATACAAAGGACAAGTGTTTGCACTGTAATGAAAAAAAAAAATATCACCTTAAGTGTGTTCTGTTTATTGTGCAGGCTTAGCATAGTTTTAGCTGCCATGGATAATCCCAGAGTTTTCGCGTATGCTTTTCAATAAAATATCCATTCCATTTAGTGGCAGTAATCTCTGGAGGTTCTTGCATATCACTATCCTTCACCAGCACACTTTTAGAATAAGAAAATTCTCCTGTCTCCTGAAATATACAAAGAATTTTACCCATTAATACCATAATACATTGGATATACAGTATATTGCTTTAAAAATGAGGATTAGTCTGTGTGCATAATACCACAGAAGTAAAGAATGTTATGGTAGTAAGACAATATTGATGCAATACAATGGGATCATACAGCCTCAATATTTTCTCTGATACCTCTTTTTTTTATTTCATTGTGGAAAAGTATAGGGTATTTGTTGAAAAATCTAAAAATAATAGTTCTACACTGGATACTGTAATATGCCTTTATTATCTACCGGAATATATAATGTAAATATTCCAATAATTGTTGGAGCAAATTTTGGAATAAAAGCAAAGAGATGGGTGACATCTCCTACAGTTTACCTTCAAGAAACAACATCTGGGGTCAACATCATCTGGAAGGTCTGCAGGTACTCTCAAAGGTGTGACCTTGACCAAGTATTTCACTTTCCACAGCATCGCATTGTTTTCAGGATTGTTCTTGACAATTGCAACCTTACTTCTCTAGAAAAATATGGCAGGATAAGTAATCTTAAAAAATGCACATGTCAATATGCAATAAAAATCAAGCTTTGAATGAAATGGTCTTTTCCTGGTGGGCGACTCTGTAGTTCCTAGGAGCATTGGGGCTGCTAAGTTCATTACAGTATTAGGACTCTGCACCAGGCCTCTCGAGATGCACTTGAGCTTAACAAGAACCAGGACCAGAAAGTGGCTCTCTGATTTGTGAAGAGATTATAGATCAGAGATCAACCCAAAGCCAAAAAAAAAGTCCACCAAAAAATATAAGCATCATGCAACTAGGTAGAGGAGACCAGCATAAATTCAACACAGGTTATCCAAAACAACTTTGACATCCTCCTTACAACGGGAGACCAGCAACCACATCATCTAATTTGGCCAGAGCTGTAAAACCTGGAACCACAAAACATGATCCCATAGTGTAATAAGCAATCATCAGAGACGATGGCTTGGCCAGTACAGAAGGCCAACACTGGAAAACGGCACACACCCGAGGGTGAAAAACTTCTGAACCCATAAGGTAGAGTAACAAAGGCAACAAGAGTAACTACTGAGGTCCAAGGACACTGAATTGAATCTCACTTCAGAAGACTGCATCAGGAAGGTTTGGCAGCCATAGCAATAAGCTATGATAATAATAATAAGTTATATCTCTTGGATCTAATACCTCTTCTTCCCCTCTCTCCTTTTTCTGGGAGAGAGATACTGGTCATCTGGACTATCTGTAGGTGAGATAACTCAAAAGAAATCAACTCGTGGAGAGGAAAATCCAACTCCTCAAAACGAGAACTCAATGGGCAAGAGATACAAGCTGGCTGCCAAAGATGACAACCTTGATGTGCAGCTGAAGGGAAATACAAATCGAGGGCACTCACAAGACAGGTTGCACAAAATAGTTATGTTAGTCAGGAAATGAAATAATAAGATAGCAATGGCCCAATTGCAGCATAAAGCTGAATGTGAGCCCATCAGAGACATGCAGCCCTGGCTGCAACAGGCAAGTGAATGAGGTGGCTGGCTGGCAAGGATCTTAGGTGACCTGGACTGCCACCTAGAGGTCAGCCTCATCATGACCGGGGTGATTACACTGCAGCAATGATAATTTGTCTTGTTATCCTCAGGGGTTACTAATTTTCTTCAAGAAATTGCTTACTTTGATACTCTTATACCGTGTAAGCTTTTTCTCAGTTTTGGGTTGACTTCTGCCTCATGGAAAGAGCCAGCTTTTGGTCCTGTCTCCCTGTTGCCAGTCCCAGGGTATAGCTGCAGGCAACTACTGAGGGCACCCTCCCAGAAATAAAGACTACCACTGAAAAATAGTAAATACATTTTCAATTCCATATACTGTAATATGCAATGAAATAATATCCACCATAATATAATACCACCAGTACTATAACTTATTACATAAGTTATCAATTACATAGGTATGAAAATGGTCAATTAGTTAATTCTTGTCCTGCATGGGAAGATATAATGTAGGCTACTGTAAACTTAATAAACTGAGACGAGTTTTACAGTCAACGATTGGATATAACGAGTTTCATGTGCTTATGTGAACTGTTGGATCCAAGAATGTCTTGTTTTTACTTAATTCCTAAAAAAAATTTAGGCAATAAACTGTGTGCTAACCCTGATCTGTCATCTAATTACTATATTGAGAAAATCAAATCTTTCAACTCTGTATCATCATGGAAGTGTGCATCAAGTTCCATGCAATTATGGCTGGTTTATTCAGTACTCTCCTTTAACTTACCTTCTCATGAAGGCCCAGTCTTTTCATGATGTCTTTGTCCCACCATGGCCTTTTATAGAGAGTTCTCACTCGGGTGACGAGATGCAGCGGTGCAGGATCATAGGGAGGATCCACCTCTCCTGGAAACCTATGACAAGTCTTCAGTGAGCTCATATATCAAGTTTAATTACACAATAAACATCATAAGAATAACTGTTTTAACTCTATCAACTCGCGTGTGTGTGTGTTCCAAGGTTGCGCGTGTGTGTGGTCCAAGGTTGCTCGTATGTGTGTCCCAAGGTTGCTCGTGTGAGCGTGTGCCAAGATTGCTCGTGTGTGCGTGTGTCCCAAGGTTGCTCGTGTGTGTGTGTGTGTGTCCCAAGGTTACTTGCGTGTGTGTGTTCCAAGGTTACTCATGTGAGTGTGTGTGTGTGTCCCAAGGTTGCTCGTGTGTGCATGTCCCAAGGTTGCTCGTGTGTGCGTGTCCCAAGGTTGCTCGTGTGTGCGTGTCCCCCAAGGTTGCTCGTGGGTGCGTGTGTTCCAAAGTTACTCGTGTGTGCGTGTGTTCCAAGGTTGCTTGTGTGAGTATGTGTGTGTCCCCCAAAGTTGCTCGTGTGTGTGTCCCCCAAGGTTGCTTGTGTGTGTGTGTGTGTAATTACCTAAGTGTAATTACCTAAGTGTAGTTACAGGATGAGAGCTACGCTCGTGGTGTCCCGTCTTCCCAGCACTCTTTGTCATATAACGCTTTGAAACTACTGACGGTCTTGGCCTCCACCACCTTCTCACTTAACTTATTCCAACCGTCTACCACTCTATTTGCGAAGGTGAATTTTCTTATATTTCTTCGGCATCTGTGTTTAGCTAGTTTAAATCTATGGCCTCTTGTTCTTGAAGTTCCAGGTCTCAGGAAGTCTTCCCTGTCGATTTTATCAATTCCTGTTACTATTTTGTACGTAGTGATCATATCACCTCTTTTTCTTCTGTCTTCTAGTTTTGGCATATTTAATGCTTCTAACCTCTCCTCGTAGCTCTTGCCCTTCAGTTCTGGGAGCCACTTAGTAGCATGTCTTTGCACCTTTTCCAGTTTGTTGATGTGCTTCTTAAGATATGGGCACCACACAACAGCTGCATATTCTAGCTTTGGCCTAACAAAAGTCATGAACAACTTCTTTAGTATATCGCCATCCATGTATTTAAATGCAATTCTGAAGTTAGAAAGCATTGCATAGGCTCCTTGCACAATATTCTTAATGTGGTCCTCAGGTGATAGTTTTCTATCTAGAACCACTCCTAGATCTCTTTCTTTATCAGAATTCTTTAAAGATTTCTCACATAATATATAGGTTGTGTGGGGTCTATGTTCTCCTATTCCACATTCCATAACATGACATTTATTAACATTAAATTCCATTTGCCAAGTGGTGCTCCATATACTTATTTTGTCCAGGTCTTCTTGAAGGGCATGACAATCATCTATATTTCTTATCCTTCCTATTATCTTAGCATCATCAGCAAACATGTTCATATAATTCTGTATACCAACTGGTAGATCATTTATGTACACAATAAACATCACTGGTGCAAGAACTGAACCCTGTGGTACTCCACTTGTGACATTTCTCCATTCTGATACATTGCCTCTGATTACTGCCCTCATTTTTCTATCAGTCAGAAAATTTTTCATCCATGATAGAAGCTTACCTGTCACCCCTCCAATATTTTCCAGTTTCCAGAACAACCTCTTATGTGGAACTCTGTCGAAAGCCTTTTTTAGGTCCAGATAGATGCAGTCAACCCAGCCATCTCTTTCCTGTAATATCTCTGTGGCCCGATCATAGAAACTGAGTAAATTCGATACACCGGATCTTCCTGATCGAAAACCATACTGTCTGTCTGATATTATATCATTTCTCTCCAGGTGTTCTACCCATTTAGTTTTGATTAGCTTTTCCAATACTTTCACTATTACACTTGTCAATGATACAGGTCTATAATTGAGGGGGTCTTCCCTGCTGCCACTTTTGTAGATTGGAACTATGTTAGCCTGTTTCCACACGTCTGCTACGATTCCTGTACACAGGGATGCCTGAAAGATCAGGTGAAGTGGAATGCTGAGCTCAGATGCACATTCTCTCAGAACCCATGGTGAAACGCCATCTGGGCCAGCTGCTTTGTTCCTCCCGAGCTCCTTTAGCATATTTTCCACTTCATCTCTAGACACCTCTATCCGCTCTATGTTGTTCTCTGGAATTCTTATTGTGTCTGGTTCTCTGAAGATTTCATTTTGTACAAACACACTTTGGAACTTTTCATTTAATGTTTCACACATTTCCTTTTCATTTTCCGTGAATCTGTTTCCCATTTCCAACCTCTGGATATTATCCTTTACCTGCAATTTGTTGTTTATGAATTTGTAGAATAGGCCCGGTTCTGTTTTACATTTATCTGCTATCCCTTTTTCAAAATACGCATTGCATTGTGTGTGTGTGTGTGTGTGTGTGTGTGTGTGTGTGTGTGTGTTTCAAGGTTGCTCGTGTGTGTGTTCCAAGGTTGCTCGTGTGTGCGTGTGTTCCAAGGTTGCTCGTGTGTGCGTGTGTTCCAAGGTTGCTCGTGTGTGCGTGTGTTCCAAGGTTGCTCGTGTGCGCGTGTGTTCCAAGGTTGCTCGTGTGTGTGCGCATGTGTTCCAAGGTTGCTTGTGTGTGTGTGTGTGTGTTCCAAGATTGCTCATGTGTGTGTTCAAAGGGTGTTCTAGTGTATGTACTCACCTAGTTGTGCTTGTGGGGGTTGAGCTTTGGCTCTTTGGCCTCGCCTCACCTCACCAATATGTATGTGTTCCAAGGTTACTCTTAATATGTATACATGTTCTAAGGCTACTCTAGTAGTGTATATGTACATATTCGAAGGATGCTCTAATCAATAAAGCTACCTTGGAACATATGTAAACTAGAGCAACCTTAGGGTATACATACCCCAGTTTAAGAACCCTTGGATGGAATGGTTCCAAGATATTCACATTACAAAAAAAAAGTACATACAAATGTATCTACTTTATTGTAAAACTTTCTAGGGTATCATTTGTAACCGAGACATCTGTGATTATTCCATGGCATCCAGGACATGTGTGTAGAAGTTTTATAGCAGTTACGTTTTTTTTTTTTTTAGATACTGCTCAAGGTTAATGATTTATTTTACTACTTTTTTTTACTGTACTTCTACTGAAGTGTGTCATGCACTGCAATAACTTATCAGTAACATAATGTCAGAAGAAACAGCAAGTCACAAAATTTATTATTCAGTTTATAAAATCTTATGCTAACAAGCAATGGGTATAGTGACAAATAAAATGTAAAAATTTGAACCAGCACTGTACCTTGGATAATACACAAATCCAAAATATTGCCGACCACCATCAGGTTGGTCTTTAGGATACACGTCTTTGTTCCCAATGGGGCAGTCTAATGGAGCTGGGTGTGTTACTTCCCCTGACGACCAAGCGATTGGTGATTTTGACACCATTGTTTTTCCAGTGTGCACTCGTCCACTATAGTCAACTTGTAGCGAATGTTTGGTTTTGGAAGACTTAAAACGCACCCCAGTAGCAGCATTCATCCAAGTCGTTTGTCGGGCAACATACCGCAGCATCTTTTGTAGAACAACATTACTGTATTAAGCATGATTTAAAAATTCAGCACTCATAAAAAATTCAGGAAATACACAAAATAAAATATACCTTACGAACCCAGTTTGAACTGGGTTCAAACACACTACAGCAAACTTGAAACACATACACACACTAGAGCACACCAAGAATATGCATACCCGAGTCTGAAATACTGTACACTTATTGAACCCAATTCTTCTACTCCTGTAACTAGTCAGTAGCTACAATATCTTGGTGAAAACTTGATAGGCAAATGTGTTGCTAGCAGTGACCAACTAGCCCACCTATGCATCACATCTGACACTTCCTGCTGGAACATGTCTAATTCCCCCTAGAGACCTTCAACATTTGTTCCTGCTATATACAGTACCCTAATTTTACTGGTAGAAGTTTGAAAAGTTATGGTCCCTGTACCCTCAACACAGCTTATATACAGTATTCACATCTGAGATTTTATACATAATCTAAAATGCAGCATCGTCCGATGTACACAGTTTGCGAGAGGGCCAGAGACCAAAAGACACAAAAATGGAATCAGTATAGGAAAAGGCTAAACCTCCAAACATACCAGTGATACAAAGATGCGAGAAACAACTACACATCAGTGAGGAGAGAGACAGAAAGAAATTTTGAGAAAGGGATAGAGGACAAATGTAAAACAGAACCAGGAATATTCTATAGAATCATCAACAACAAATTGCAGGTAAAGGGTAATATTCAGAGGTTGAAAATGGGAAACAGATTATCGGGAAATGAAAATGAAATGTGTGAAACACTAAATGAAAAGTTCCAAAGTGTGTTCGTACAAAATGAAATCTTCAGAGAACCAGACACAATAAGAATTCCAAAGAACAACATAGAGCACATAGAGGTACTGTATGTTGAGACAAAGTTTAAAAAAATGCTCAAGGAGCTAAATAAGAACAAAGCAGTTGGCCTAGATAGAGTTTCATCATGGGTTCTGAGAGAACGTGCACCTGAGCTCAGCATTCCAGTTCAACTGATTTTTCAGGCATCCCTGTGTAAAGGTTGGTCCTCAGGACCAAAGAGTCAGAGTTCAACCCTCGCAAGCACAACTAGGTGAGTTGTGTGTGGAAATATTTCTAGCATATGTGTGGAAAAAGGCTAACATAGTTCCAATCTACAAAAGTGGCAGCAGGGAAGACTTCTCAATTATAGGCCTGTATCATTGACAAGTGTAATAGTCAAAATATTGGAAAAAATAATTAAAACTAAATGGGTAGAACATATGGAGAAAAACTATATACCAACAGACAGTATGGTTTTCGATCTGAAAGATACTGTGTTACAAATTTACTCAGTTTCTATGATCGAGCAATGGCGATTTTACACAAAAGAGATGGTTGGATTGACTGCATATATCTGGACCTAGAAAAGGCTTTCGACAGAGTTTCACATAAGAGGCTGTTCTGGAAACTGGAACATACTGAATGAGTAACAGGTAAGCTTCTAACATGGATAAAAAAAATATTGACAGAAAAGTGAGTGCAGTAATCAGAGACAATGTATCAAACTGGAAAAAATGTCTTGAGTGGGCTACCACAGGTATACAGTTCTTGCATCGGTAATGTTCATTGTCTACATAAACGATCTACCAGATGGAATACAGAATTATATGAACATGTTTGCTGATGATGCTAGGTTAATAGGGAAGATAAGAAGCTTAAATAATTATCATGACCGTCAAGAAGACCTGGATAAAATAAGTGTATTAAGCAACAATGTGGAAATAGAATTTAATGTGAATACATGCCATGTTATGGAATTTAGAATAGGAGACATTAGGCTGCACACTACCTATAAATTATGTGAAACCATTTTAAAGAAATCTGATAAAATTTAGAGATTTTTGGGTTACCTTGAGGTTACCTTAAGATGGTTTCGGGGCTTAGTGTCCCCATGGCCCTGTCCTCGACCACGCCTCCTCGTTGCTGGAATGATCAACCAGGCTGTTGGATGCAGCTGCTCACAGCCTGGTTGATCAAGTATTCTTTGCAGGTGCTTATCAAGTGCTCTCTTGAATACTGTGAGGGGTCGGCCAGTTATGCCCCTTATGTGTAGTGGAAGCATGTTGAACAGTCTTGGGCCTCTGATGTTGATAGAGTTCTCTCTTTCAGAGTGCCTATTGCACCTTTACTCTTCAACGGCGCATTCTGCTCCTCCTGACATGCCTTCTGGTCTCATGTGGTGTTATTTCTGTGTGCAGGTTTGGGACCAGCCCCCTCTACTATTTTCCACGTGTAAATTATTATGTATCTCTCCCACGTGCCTCAAGAGAATACAGATTTAGGCATTTTAGTTGGTCCCAGTAGTTTAGATGTTACTGAGTGTATTCTAGCAGTAAAGGATCTCTGCACGCTCTCCAGGTCAGCAATTTCTTCAGCTTTGAAAGAGGCTGTCACTGTGCAACAGAATTCCACTCTAGAGAGCACTAGCGTTTTGATAAGTATCATCATTGTTATAGCATCTCTAGTGTGTAAGGTTCTTGTTCTGGTTCTTCTAAGGCAAGACACTACAAGCATAGCTCTCATCTAATAACTAAGGCAATTATTACGTGAATTCATATTCCAGTTGGAAAGAAATCCCCAGGAACAATAGGAGGACCTTTGACAACCCTATGCCTGTTGAGGCTACTAGAGATATAGTGGCCTTCAGCTAAATATTACTAAGCCAGATGAGAAAGTGATTTATGGTAACTATATATTTGGTTATAAATATAAACTTATAAATTCAGTGGCTTGGTAAGAATATATCATTAAATCAGTAAAATCTGTACTGATGCAACCCAATGTAATGTATTAATAAAATAAATAACTTCCATAACCTAATGATATATATAGCTTTAACAACAAAAATGGGTTAAGTGTGTTGTAACACTCGAGTGTATGATACAAGCATAGACCCTCCTTGCTTTCTGACTACCTATAACCATCTAAGGCTGAACTTTCTGCCTGTAACCATGAATAGTCTGGTTAAACCTTACTTATCTCCCCTCTTATCGGTCCCTCCAAATATCATTACTGCTCTCTCTGAATATCGTGGCAGATTTAGCTCAAAAGGGGGTTTAATTACCTTGTCTATCAGTAGTTTGCCGGCAACACGGCTCCAGCCTGTTGTTGCCGTGGAGGGGACGGGCCTAGAAACTAACCATGTTATTTTATCAATATGTTATGCCGCTAAATAGGATTCGACGACAAATTTTCAACGTTTATACGTGACTTTGAGTTTAGTGATATGTGTCCTGACTTTATTGTAAATATGTAATATGGAACAAATTTATTTAGGGTCGTTAACGCACAGGGAAACATTTGTATTGAAATAAAATATTACATAATTAAACACAAATGTTGTTCTCGGAAATATTTTTCCTAAATTGGGAGACAGTGAGATAAGTATATTTTTAATGAAAGATCAAATATGGGAATTCAACACTGCTGGTAAAATATTTAACAATGGTATTTTTGGCATTGTTGAATGTAGTACACAGAGCGTGAGGGGAAGGCAGACGTCGGCGTGCTGTCGCTGCCCCTACTCCTACAACAACAACACGACGCTGGTGTTTTTTACTCAAAATCAACACCAATTGATCAGTGTTGTCACCATGGCGGGGATGACCTTAAATGACTACCTGCAGAGGGTGAGGATTGTGTGTGTGTTGTCTTCCAACAGACTTGCCTACAAGGAGGCTGCTTTTATCACAGTATAATATATAGTTACAACAGTATGTTCCAACAAGCTACATATAATTGTTTACATACGACGCTTTGCTAACAGATATTGTTGTAATAAAATTAACCTAACCTAATGATATATACAGTTTTTAACTATAGAAATATCCATATATATATCCAAACTTAATCTATATGATTTGACCATATCAATATTAAAACAATTGTGTATAGTCAAATTACTTATGAATATATAATAAAAAATTATATGCAGGCTATATATAAGCTGTTAGACTACATGGTATAAACCAAGTAATATCCTCTGGTATATTTAAATCCTCTGTTATAAACCAGAGGATCAAATTTCAATCAGTGTGATCAATCTGTTGTGATTCAGAGAGCAACTCTCTCTTTCTTTGTAATTAAAATACAGCATAGAGTAATATTCTTTTATGGTAAAAAATAATTTAGCGATATTTTTTACCATAAAGAAAATTATTCAACTGTATGGAGTATTATAAAGAAACTGAAAAAGTTGCCCTTTGAATCATATAGTTTTGAAAATGTACTTATGACCTGATTGATAAAACTCATTGAAATTTGATCCTCAAAAAATTTGGTCTCAAGATATTTTTATTGGGAGTATTCTTCACTGCCAACACCCTCACTGCCTAACCATGATCACATTCTTATATAAATTAACCCTTTTTGTTCATGTGAAGTTAGCCTACCTCTTCTACTTAATTTTTCTAAAGAAAAGTGGATGAAATTTGTTGGGTAGTATTTTACAAGTTCCACATACTGTACTTAAACCTAAATTTCTTAACAAAAATATTAGGATTGTATTATATTTACAAGTTATGTAAACTATATTATTTGAATACAATATTTTAATTTTTGTATCAACAGGTTCAGAATGCTTTATATAATCAAAATGGAGAAGTCCTTGGGGTATGTATTATTTGTCTTGAAACTCCCTTTTAGTGTTTGTATGACTAGCAGCCTGTACCTCATGTAATGAACTCTGGGTACAGTGTCTCATTCATTTTCAGTTAAGGTACAAACTATAGATTTTATTGAAGGTTAATGTTTATGAAAAAGACTAGTTCTGTCAGTTAGATTAGTAGATATAAAAGATATGATTGTGAATTATTAATAAAGTTACATTACATCAAGTTGCATTCTGAGGTTTTGTCTGGATCTTATTTCCAAATTTTTATATTTCCTATATTGTATTTTGTTTGTTAATCCTAAGTGTCACCATCTTTCCACCTGTCATCCATAAAAGATAGCATGTCTAGTACTTGTAGCAACTAATGAACCAATGTACAAAAATGGAATGTTTTGCCCAAAAAGGAATCCATTTTGTACTATTAGGTTTGTGGAAGGCACGAGAAAGACAACAACAACCAAATGTAAAATTCCATAAGCCTAGTATAGCACATATATATACATGAATAATTGTTGGCATTTATTCATGATTGAATAATTATTGGCACCTCCACTACTTCATGTAGACTTTGGGCTGCATCTATTCCTATCATGTTTTTCTTCACTAGAGCTTTCATTGCATCAGCCACATTCCTCCCTTGAATGACCCTATTCTCAACTTAAATTGCACAAATGCTGTACCTCTTTTAGTTATCACATATTTTTTTTTAATTTATATTTAACCCACCCAGTACAGTACTTCATAATTCACATTTATTTTTCACACAATTTCCTTTTCTCTACTGTACCAACATCACCATAACTGTGCTTTTGTCCATTCTCTTTTAAGTCTTCTTTCATACACCTCAATAGATTTTAGTTGCAATAGCATTTTCACCTTGGTAAAAAAAAAAAAACTTGTGCATAAATCATCTTTGATATAGAATATTCATAATAGACATGTATACCTGATGTACACCATTCTCTAACATTCTTACCTTGACCAACCTCATGACCCTGTGTACTGCACAGTATAAATTAACTGCCAGGGGTGACATCAGACAACACTGATATACACCTATGTTAATATCACTAGTTGCAGACAAGGAGTCACAATAACGTGGCTGAAATATGTTGACCAAACCACACACTAGAAAGTGAAGAGACGACAACATTTCGGTTCATCCTGGACCATTCTCAAGTCGATTGTGTCATTCTCACAATCGACTTGAGAATGGTCCAGGACGGACCGAAACGTCAGCGTCCCTTCACTTTCTAGTGTGTGGTTTGGTCAACCATGTCACTAGTTGCTCATTACAGCATTAATTCCTTACACACACACGCACTGCTTCCTACAAAGAAACTTTCATGGCATTTAACAGCACTCTACCAATTCCATACGTGCACAAAGTCCAAAATCCTTTTCTGTTACATACACCCCAAAGTCCTTTTCTGTTAATCATGCATGTTATTTTGAAGACTTTAGATGCTATTTTAACTTAAACTAATTATTAACTCTTGCTTACCAGGAACTCATCTCCTTTCGGGACCCACATGTTATGAGCTCACGCTTGATGCTGGAGAAACCTGAACGAGATGTTGAGCGGTGTGTTGACGTATCACTTTGCGAGGTCATCGCAGGACACCTAAGGTTTTTACTTTAATATTCTTTGGGCAAGGATGCTTATGAAGAGAGAGAGAGAGAGACAATTTCATCCCCTGAGATGTTAATTAGGTACTGCGCAACATTTAAAACAATTCCTCAGGCCTCCAGTAAGCAGGCACCATATTGAAAAAAAATCCTGAATGTCACCTTAGCTACAGGCCAGTAGCATCAAGATAATAACCATGGGTTTTGAATGCGACTTAAGCTTGCAACTCTGTCATGCAGCTTGGTCAATAAGGAATAAAGAAATGAATAAAAATCTGGATGATTATAGGCTTGTAAACAGCTTAGATGATTCTAATGTATACCGAATATCATCTTGAAGAATAAAACAGAAATGGGATTTGATAAATTTTTTCCAGACGTTCAAGATTTGGCTGTGTACTTTACTCATGCCAAAGCTATATTCCATAAGGCTGTTCATATTGTGAATTTTTTGTGGAATTTCTCAGTGGAACATTCATGTTCACAGATAATGCTGGTAAATTGTCTTTTAAAATGTTTCAGGTTCTAAATAATGCCTTTATTACTCTGCACTACCTACATTTGCCGACTCCCTCTCTTCACTTACTGTATTTTAAGTACTATGATGGTACTGTACTTGGCATTTAAATTTGCCCCTCAAACTACGAACACTTCTCGGTATCCTAATATCTGAGTTAAAAAGTGTTTTGATTTCCTCTTATTGGAGACAATAAGCCTGGATAATAAACCTGTTACTAAGCCAATAAGCCTGTTACTGGAAACAATAAGCCTGATAGACTTATTGGGCCCCTTGTTGACCTTTTCCAGGATGCAACCCACAACAGTTGAATAACTCCCAGGTACCTGTCTGCTACTAGTTGAACAAGAGGCATCAAGTGTAAGGAAACATGACTATAGCACTACAGGTTATTGTTCTGGGCAAAAAATCGATGATTTGCAATACTGATAGGCAATGAGAAAGTGTTTTAATTTTCATTTAAACTTATTTGCAAAATATAATAATACCCACACTGCCTTCATGTAAAAACATGTAAAAGCTGGTTTACAAATATCTATCTAAATGAAAGAGATGCGTCTTCCTGTCTCACTTGTCAGAAGTGAATCCAAACCATTATAGTCGACATCCATGAAAGGGTTAGGCTGGCAAGTTCTTCGTACTCTTGCTTGGTGCATTGGAAGAAATGCCACTGAAAATGCTTGAGTAAGAAGAGGACAGACCACTCATACACAAGGAAAATACCTGTTCTGTATGTGTGGCCTCACAATAGGTCTGGCTGCCTTAAAAATAAGATCACATAAGCAAAATCATTTGCATAATTTATAGTATAGTACATGCTTACTGAAATATTGATAAAATATAAATGCATTAAACTAAATAATATTTACAAATAAATAAGCAAGATTATCTCTAATACAGTAAAAAATACAGGATATGAAAATTATACGATTAATCAACAATCCAGATTTCACTACATTACAGAATCTAGATTTATTTTAAAGAAATACCAACTTTGGAGGGCAAATCTGATGTGTGAATTTGAACCGTAGCATGAAGGTCCAGATTTTTAAGAGAGCACTGTAATGTTATCTAAAATATTGAAGATATGTTTCATATTTTTCAAAATTAATTCCAAGGATCCTGAAATACTCATGCTGCCAAGCCAGTAAAATACAAATAGCCTCAGCACATTCAGATAGTTCCCACTAAAACTAGTTCATGTAATGAATGAAATACCTGAGCACAGTTGCAAATATTTTCCTTTTTGGGAGTTCTTATCTGGGACATTGTTTATGCATCTGTATTATTGAATAATTGATTAAACAAATAGTTAACTGATGAATATGCTGGTACAGTACCTGTAGATTTGGATTCTTGGGATTACACTGTAGCATCACTAATGATGAACCTGAAATAATTTGCTCTATGATTATTCCTACAGATATTTTGGTTATGCAGAATGTTTAATCCACATGTGTTTTTCTGTAGGGCAGTGTGGGCGGCAGGGTCTGGAGATTGTGTAGATGCCTGGAAAACCCAGATGGTGGTAGTGCAAGCAGTTTCTCGCTTCATGCAAGAGTTAAAAGAAGAGAATTGGATGCTGCCAATCATGTATAGTGCTTGTCTTGATTTAAGGTATTGATTATTTAGTTTATCATGGATTGTTTTTCATGTTTAAGGTTTGGACAGACATTACAGGGGATTTTGCAAATGCAATAAATTTGATAACTTGTTTGTACTTATATGGTAAATGAACCTTTAATTTATGCAACACCAGTAGTGAACAGTGACAAAAATCCTATGTATAATGTTTTTATGTTTTGCAAACTAGCTCCTACTTCTCAAACAGTGTAAGAGGACCTTTAAATATGAAATAAGCATTATAGTTGCAAATAATTACATTAAATATTAATCTCACTGCACTGAACTGCAACTAACAACCCTGACTCAACAATAGGCTATTTGCATTGGCTGCAGACAGTGAGTTGACACGCTCAGGAACATGCAAAGCAGGGGAGACCTTGGAGAAAGCAGCAGAGGCCCTCATGAGTTGCTTCCGTGTTTGTGCTGCAGATACGTAAGTCTTTGCTTTAATTAGTTTGTTTTAAATGCCTTTGAGACTATTTATGGGAATTCTCACTTTGTTTAAAATAATATGAAAGCTGATAGAGCAACTTGGCCTCTCAAATAATACATTGTATTTTGATGTAAAGATCCCTAACATCAAAATGTGAAGTACAGTACTGTACTCTAAATCACAGTGGCTCATTTAATTGATGGGCTGTTATGTTTTTAGTCATAGGTTCAAGGTCAGGTTAGGTTTGGGCAATTTAGTATCTTTTCGTGACATGAAAATTTGAGAGGATGGGCTAGATATACAATACAGTATTGTATTTGATAAATGGAGAAATCATATTAGGTATCCTTCTGAGATGAAGATTGAGATTTTATCAAGGCATAAACATAGGCAATTCTTTTCCTTTTCCTTTCTTTGCAAAGTGTTACACAAAGAATATCTGACATAATCATACAAATATTTAGTTTTCCCAAAATAAATTATTATAGTATTATATGTTTGATCTGTTTTTTCATTAGTAATACTGTAATAATATATAGCTTGGGTAGGTTGATGCAGAGGAAATATCTGCTCCACAAGTGTACCTGGCAGCTGATCAGTCGTTAGCCATAAGCCTTTAGTTTATGGTCTTGTATACAGGCTTTTAAGTAATAGAAATGTTTTTCTGTTCAATAGTAAACATTGTGTTTCCTCTTATTATAGCCATTTGTCAATGCCTCTTACAACACATTAACACAGTTATTAGTCAAAATTAAAGATATATTTTGTATTTTTTTAAATTCTAGCCAAGGAGTTGAGGTCCTTGAATTACCTATGATATATATGAAAATGATACCGAGCTACCCTGCAAGCGTGTAGCAAGGCTACTCATGAGTGACTCGCCAAATTATGTTTTTGGTGGCATACTTGGAAAATGTCTCGCCTGTTGGTGAAATTATTGGTGGAAAATATTTGATATTTTGCCACTTTTAATTGTATATCTGGCATATTATTTGTGCCATTGCTGTCATAGAAATTAGATATTCTGTATCAAATATCCATGAGCTGATTATCCATTTAGTAACAGTACAGTATTTTTTTAATTTGTGTTTGTAATGAAGCCCTTATTTACAGACGAACTGGGGAAGACTGTACAAAGCGATGGGGCCTCCTCTACTTGGTTAATCAGTTTTTCAAGATATATTTCAAGATCAATAAACTCAACCTGTGTAAACCAATGATACGTGCTATTGAGTCTTTGGCCTTCAAAGATCGTTTCTCTCTGTCTCAGCTCATTACGTACAAATATTATACAGGCAGGAAGGACATGTTTGATTCAGATTTTAAATCAGGTAATATACAATAGGGTTTAGAATATACAATACAGTATTTCTAGATTTTGTATGTATGGCAGTTAGATATAAGTTTTTACATAGTGATTTAAGATCATTATTTAGTAATTTAATAAAATCCTCTTTTAAAAAGTGTAAAGAAAATTAATTTAGTACAGTATTATTGCAGTGTCTGTCTTAGAACCCAGTTAGATATCTTATTCATCCACTTTCTAAGACTTAATTCATACTTTCCTTATCAGTTACCAGTTAACTTTAGTTGTCAAAATCCATCTTGTTTAAAAGAATGTAGCCTAATAAGGGGGAGATATCTTCCAATCTTTTGTTGTGGTAATGACTTCATACCCAATAACACGCTAACACATGAACACTTTCCAGGCCTTGCACTTTGAATTTGGCTAGTTTTTTCTTGTCGAGAGCCTAGCCCGTAAAAGCCACTTGGCATGTTGTGGTACAGAATGAGTTTCAAAATATTTGAGGTTTAAAAGGAGTGCAAGGATATGGGTTGTGATGTCATTTTTTTAGGAAAAGCATGGAAGAGGAAGAAAATAGAAGTAGATGTGGAGAGCAATTTAAAAGTGATAAGTGGAATTCATGAAATGAGTGCAAATGTGATTTGATTGACTGCTGTTACAGAGAGAAAGCAACAAAAGAAATATCAGAAGAGGGTAAGAAAGTTAGTGAAATATTTATATTTATAGGAAATATTAAGTATAGTGTAGAGAAGAAAATGAAATGGCTGTGAATTATTTTCCAGAAGACTTGCATATTGATTCATAGAGCAATGATTGTTGTGCTACAAAATCAAGTATGATTACCTATTGTGCATGTAAAAGCTATTGGCATTAGTCTCGTTAAGTGTTATAGGTTTAGTATATAACAGGACAGTGAGTAAATGTACAGAAAATAACTACAAAACTTTTATATGAGACATGGTGAAATCTGCGGTGGAAAGGGTTACGTGAATCATATTTGTAGCAAAACAACGAAAGGAGATGACATTTGAGAAAGTTCTCAGGAGTGTGCATGATTTACGAAGCTAGCAAATGCAATGAACACGTACAGTGTGGGAGGAATGAAATGTATTGAAATGCTTTTATGAAAAAAGCAAAACTGATGTGCAACAAAACTGCTGAGTTTTTTTTATACAGTACAGTACTGGTATTATCATTTTATTATATATTTTTTTTTTTTTTCTTTTTCTTTTTTATGCGATAAAGGTTTTTAAACCTTGTAACTTTTTCAAGTTCTTGTGGATGATGATTCTCCCAGAAGAGCTTTTGCAGATCTGATCTTAGTCAGGTCATGTGAACAAAACATAATCTACAATAAGTTCCTGTCCCCACATGTTGTTTTCTACAACATTGACAGTAGTTATTGTCAAAGCTAATATGATCAGCAAATTAAGATATCATAATGCCTTTCCTTACCTTATTTTCAGCTGATGCGACATTGTCATTCGCTTTCCAGAGATGTCATGCTGGCAGTCGGAAAAATAAGAGACGCATTCTTATCTATTTGATTCCTGTGAAAATGCTGCGGGTAAGTCTCTTAAGAAGTTAAAGTAGAAATGCCTATTGTGTGCTGGTTTCTCAATAGTTCAGCAGATCTCAATAATTTTTATTTATCCTCACTTTTTATTAGGTTCAGGGCAGGGTTAGTTTAGTTCATTTATTATGCACCCCATACCCATCTTGTGGGCGGTAGTGGAAAGGGTTACAGAGGCACATAATGGGCTCAGGGACTGAACCCCACAATTCATTTAGCTAAGCAAGTTACAATCTTGATGAGCTAGTTACAAAATTCAATATAAGTTGGCAGGGTGATACTAAAAATCTGTTTTGAGTATTATTTATTGAGAACATATATAGTTTGCTCAATATATATACAGTAGAGCCATACTCTATTTGTATTTACTTGGATTTCAGGGATACTTACCCAAGGAGTCTGTGTTGGAAAGATTCAACCTACCAGAGTTCCGAGAAGTGGTAATATCTGTTCGCCAAGGGAATGTACGACTCCTGTCTGAAACTTTGGTAAAACATGAGAGCTTCTTCATAGGAGCTGGGATTTACCTGATTCTTGAGAAGCTGAAAATTTTGGCATTCAGAAATCTCTTCAAGAAAGTGTAAGTAATATTGGTATTTTCTTGAGATGGTAACTGTTCTAAAGCACACAATATTTATTTGAGAACTTTTTTTTATGAAACTTGATGCTTCACTATAAGAGTAAGTACCTTATAAAAGGAAATAAAAATAAGTTTCAGCAAGCTATAAATTGTTGAATTACTTAGTATTTGTCCAAAAGTGTAGAGATGAATGTTAACCCCATTCTAACAAAACAAGTATGGATGAATTTCAGCAACCCTTGGTAGCACTACCATAATTAATTTTGTTGGAGACAGGAAGCCTGTATGGAGGCATTAAGTGAAAGGAAATATGACCAACCATTTCTGTCCAGCCCTGGAATTGAAACCAGGATTCCTGACTGAGTTGAGAACAAAGCCATGATGGAAGATGCATCCATTTCTCTATTAATGATTCTTAATTTTGTGATCTATTGCTCTCAACATTGTCATTGTCTTTAATTGGTGTCTATTTCTTATGTGTCCTCTACTTTCCCAACTGAATATATGTCAGGGCAATCCTCATTCTTTAAGCATATTCTTGCCTCTCTGCATCCAAGTGGTGACTGCTTCAATTATGTAATAAACTAGCATTTATGAATTACGCATAAAATGCAATATGGAGCAGAGTGAAAGTGAATGATATCCGTCTGCTCACCACGATTTCCCTTCATAAGACTAGGTGTCCAGTGCTCCTCACAAACTGTTTCTATCCTAATAGTGTTCCTTACCAATTAGTGATGCAAACAGTGAAATATAAACAAAGGTGAATGTGGTATGTATATCTACAAAAATGAAGTTGGAAGAGAGATTTAGATTTCTGTTACAAAGTAGCAGGGTATGTCAAACATGGTAGCTGCCTTTCTGTTCAATTGGAGTTGTAGATAGGCAAGAGTATTACATTAATTTGTATGCATTTAAGAGTTAAAAACTATCAATAACTTTGTAATGCCTTTTAACAATGTTTTATTGAAAATGTGTTTAATCAGTGGAAATGCTTTAAGGTTACAGTTAACTTTCCTTTTATTTTATCAACAGTTTCCTCGTCACTGGTACTCATCAAATTGAGGTTACCCTCTTCTTGCAATCTCTGAAGTGGATGTGTGTAGAAGATGTTGACCTGGATGAAACAGAGTGCCTGTTGGCCAACATGATCAATGATGGCCGCATGAAAGGATACATCTCCCATGCTCACCGTAAAGTTGTTGTCAGCAAAAAAGATGCTTTCCCTCCTCTAACAGCTTGCTGATTCCGATGGCAAAATTTGCAAATAAGGCTGAACATTAAATCACTAGGGCTCAAAGTATTTTCCTTGTAATACAGGGAGACTCATTTCAGGTTTTGATTGAACCAAAGCAGGTTTGATTGACTCAAAGCCGGTTTTGATTCGAGTCCAGCAGTAAAAAGTATGCCAAAGTGCTAATTTAAACATTTCCAAGAACAGACAAGCTTGAATATGTGACTTAATTCCAGACCAACTTTCCACTTTTTTCATTTCAATCTTTACTATTGTATTCAAATTTAAGAAATTAGTGCATATCTTCACAAGTGAAAAAATAAAAATATTTTGTAAATTTGGAGTATCATTAAGAGGCAAATTATCATTTAATTTTATGTAGCGATACGTGAATTCTGTTATTATTCAACTGCACCTACAAGATTTTATCATGATCTGAAAATGGAGATTAAGGTGAATTACCAAAGGCTTTTTCATACGATTGAATTGAAGCCAAAAGTGTTAAAACATTTTGTGGGCTTGTACCTTGAATTAACCTCTAGGAAAGACTATGGGGAACTATAAGATCGACTTAAGAATTTATTCCGTGAGGTTGAGGGCCATTGGAAGTAAGTGGAAAGGCTACTGGTGAAAGTCAGCCATGAGTGGAGCGATAACAGGTGGTGTGTAGCATATATGTGGAGTGCGCTGTCGGGCTGGCTGGTATAGATGATGGGGACAATAGCTTGGTGGCACTTCCCGAATCAATAGCCTAGTAATGGTGGGACAGGATCAACACCTGACTAGTTTAACTTTTTCAGCTGATCAACTATTCAAAATTTAAGGATAACATACATCCTTAAACTAAAAGGCCTGACAGCTGAGTGGTGGGGCCTGACTGCTGTGGACAGTGCTTGAATATGTGACTTAATTCCAGACCAACTTTCCACTTTTTTCATTTCAATCTTTACTATTGTATTCAAATTTAAGAAATTAGTGCATATCTTCACAAGTGAAAAAATAAAAATATTTTGTAAATTTGGAGTATCATTAAGAGGCAAATTATCATTTAATTTTATGTAGCGATACGTGAATTCTGTTATTATTCAACTGCACCTACAAGATTTTATCATGATCTGAAAATGGAGATTAAGGTGAATTACCAAAGGCTTTTTCATACGATTGAATTGAAGCCAAAAGTGTTAAAACATTTTGTGGGCTTGTACCTTGAATTAACCTCTAGGAAAGACTATGGGGAACTATAAGATCGACTTAAGAATTTATTCCGTGAGGTTGAGGGCCATTGGAAGTAAGTGGAAAGGCTACTGGTGAAAGTCAGCCATGAGTGGAGCGATAACAGGTGGTGTGTAGCATATATGTGGAGTGCGCTGTCGGGCTGGCTGGTATAGATGATGGGGACAATAGCTTGGTGGCACTTCCCGAATCAATAGCCTAGTAATGGTGGGACAGGATCAACACCTGACTAGTTTAACTTTTTCAGCTGATCAACTATTCAAAATTTAAGGATAACATACATCCTTAAACTAAAAGGCCTGACAGCTGAGTGGTGGGGCCTGACTGCTGTGGACAGTGCTTGAATATGTGACTTAATTCCAGACCAACTTTCCACTTTTTTCATTTCAATCTTTACTATTGTATTCAAATTTAAGAAATTAGTGCATATCTTCACAAGTGAAAAAATAAAAATATTTTGTAAATTTGGAGTATCATTAAGAGGCAAATTATCATTTAATTTTATGTAGCGATACGTGAATTCTGTTATTATTCAACTGCACCTACAAGATTTTATCATGATCTGAAAATGGAGATTAAGGTGAATTACCAAAGGCTTTTTCATACGATTGAATTGAAGCCAAAAGTGTTAAAACATTTTGTGGGCTTGTACCTTGAATTAACCTCTAGGAAAGACTATGGGGAACTATAAGATCGACTTAAGAATTTATTCCGTGAGGTTGAGGGCCATTGGAAGTAAGTGGAAAGGCTACTGGTGAAAGTCAGCCATGAGTGGAGCGATAACAGGTGGTGTGTAGCATATATGTGGAGTGCGCTGTCGGGCTGGCTGGTATAGATGATGGGGACAATAGCTTGGTGGCACTTCCCGAATCAATAGCCTAGTAATGGTGGGACAGGATCAACACCTGACTAGTTTAACTTTTTCAGCTGATCAACTATTCAAAATTTAAGGATAACATACATCCTTAAACTAAAAGGCCTGACAGCTGAGTGGTGGGGCCTGACTGCTGTGGACAGTGCTCTGGATTCTTACTCCTAGGGTCTGGGAATCGATCCCCGGCGAAGGCGGAAACAAATGGTCAGTTTCTTTCACCCTGATGCCCTATTCACCTACCAGTTAATAGGTACCTTTATGACCTGGGAGTTAGGCAGCTGATACAGGCTGCTTCCTGGGGGGGTGTGTGTGTGAAAAAAAAAATGATTGACAGTTGAGAGGGGGCCGAAAGAGCAAGAGCTCAACCCCCGCAAACACAATTAGGTGACTACACGTTTCTAAACAATAAATGAGCTGTGTGCCTGGCAGCAGCATCAGAAGTAATTGAATTTGATTCTGGAGTGCATAATCTTGATAAATAGCTGTTGGTTAACTCTAAACACTGATTTTTGCTGTTGTCCTAAAATGTCTTGGCCTTGATTGTTCTGAGGGCAAGTATCTTCAATTGTGGTCACTGTAGAAATGAAGATCACTCATTACAACTGGTGGGAAGCAGTTTGAGCCCTAGAGGTATCTTGAATCACAGCTATTCCCTCCCAGGAGAAATGCTTGTCCCACATTGATTTAGATAAAAGTGCCTTAAAGGAAAAACTCGGCCTCTCATGCAGATGAATTTGTGGCGGAGAAGAGGAGTGAGGAGCAACCAGTGCCTCAGTCTGCAGCAAATGCTTTCACCAAGCAGGTTGTTTTGAGACCTGATTATTCCAATATTAAACTCTACTTGTTGTATTACTTTTTATTCATGTATTTTTCAGCACAACACAATTCTTGGGCTAATTAAAATAAGGGTGGGGACAATGTTATAAGAATTTTCCCAATGAGACCTTGGGCCATTTTATATACTAGCAAGGCAGGCAATTTATATGCATGAGGTGATGTAAAAATAATTTGCCCCTTCATGCTATAATAGACAAATATTTTTCAAATTGTTTTGTAAGCCTTTCATAAAGTTTCAGTCAAATTATTTTAAATTTGTTTTGTGGTGTTGCGATGATAATGGACAGACTGTTTAGGCAAAGGTCATAGACCTACATAAAGCAAAGAGAGACACTAGACAAATTTACTGGTATCAATAGTTAACAATGGGATGCATAGCTTCAAATGCAGAAAAGACACCTCAGTAGGTTTGCAAGGTGAAACCCCTAGAGTTGAAGAAAATGGATTGAAGCCATACCATTGGATCGAACCCCCACATCCTTGAACGCCTCATTCAATTCTAAGGTACAGCTCCGATATTTTCTTAGTTTCATCACATTCTTGTGATATAGAGCCAAGAGCTGAAGTTCAATCCCCATAAAAACATTATCTATGTGGGTGTGGAGTGAGTGGTATACAGTACAGGTAAGAACCATATGTAAATACAGTAGTTTAATGTTCTTTAATTTCTTTGTGCTATTAAAGAGGCTTTGAGTCCAGTTCTTGATCCCTTAACAGTATGAGTTTACCTTACCTTAAGGACACTATCTCTCTAGGACAGGAAGCTAGCAGGTTGTTAATGGCCCCACCATTTGTCGTGATTTTATTGTGCTGAATTTTGAATTTGAACATAGTTTTGTCATGTATATCTTCAGAGGGTAGGCAGTTCCATGGGATTATAACCCCATGAGTGAGAAAACATCGCCTGTTTTCTGTCCCGCGTTGTGGTGGGTTGAGCTTGAAACCCTTGTTCCTTGTTTGCATTACATCTTAAATTTTAAATTAGATTTGATATGATTTGTAACGTGTCCAATCGTCTCTGTCCTGCTGTGGGAATCGAACCGGGGACCCAAGGTTTTGAGCCGACAATATAGTTTATCCTATAGACTGCTGTGCTTCACGACTCTCGCTCTGTAATCCGTCATATCGAATATGATAGTACAGTATCACACTGCTCTGTACCTAAACATTTAATAAAAACAATAATAAAAATCACATGCTGTATAGACCTCCATAAAAAAAGGTTAAACTGGTTTTGTATTGAGGCTGGTATTTTCTCCCCTGATTCCATATATGACTAACCAACCTGTGAGATTGAAATTGAAATTGAAATAAGTTTATTGAGGTAAAATACACAAAGGGATGAGGTAGCTCAAGCTATTCTCACCCCGTTCAGTACATCGTGTTAATACATACATAGACACATCACAAACAATAAACATATTACCAAACATTCTGAGAGATAAACATATACATTTCTTCCTTTACACAAGTATACTGTGAGATGGGAATATTAGATGAACTTATAGCTGGTTTTTTATCTACACTAAATAATCTTTCATATAGACTAGGGTAGGAAAAAAAAATTGCGGGATACTTATTTAAAATGATCATATAAATATTGCACTATTCCAAGGAATTTTGCCGTTTGTTAAAACATTCAATCATTTAGCTTGTTATGGAAATAGACGTCACCAGGTTGGTGTCGACGAGTTACTCAGGTAAATTTGTAAATATTGCAGAATTTATCCTGTTGACAACTTGCAGAGAACCCTTCATGCTAACCATAAAGAATAATCTTCATTACCTTTGTTATTGCAAAATGTGAAATAAATTTTATTTTAAATTTTAGTTTAGTCGACTAATAATGTTTACGATTAAAGATAAATTAATGAGAGGAAAACATGTATGACGAGTAGAGGTGCTCGTTTGACGAGGCAGCCGGGCGGGCTGGCGACCAATCACCTTCTTCCAAATAACAACAACATGGCCACGCTCTGGAGGTGGGTGACATGACGTTTTCCCCCTTTATATCTCCTCTCTCTCCTTCGCTTTACATCCATTTTGATTCCTTTCATACCTGTCTACGTCTTTCGAGTGTTTTGCAACAAAAACCGTGACAAACCTACTATGTTGGGGCCTAAATATAACATTATTGGGATGTTTTACCGGTGTCAGAAAGTTCTACTTCTAGGATAGACAGCTTACGTGTAGAGGGCACTTTGACTGCACTAGATTGGTGTTGTGCTATATCATTTCCTTTGACGTGTTGAGAGATGGGTGTTAAGCTGTCTTCATGGTGTTAGTGTAACATCTATGGGAACAATCCTTAGGAAGGGTATCGTTCACCATCTGATTGTACATAATCTAGTAAAATCAAGTCAACATGGTTTTATTCAAAATAAATCTTGCCTTACTAACCTGCTCATAATTCTGGAAACGGTAACCAGCTATTTAGACAAAGGACTTCTAGTATACATGGACCTTAGGTATCATGTGGTACCTAAAACATTTAAGGTATCACATGATGGACTGGCAGAGAAATTACAAACACATGGAATAACAATACAGTAATTAATTTTGTTGGGGTACAGGCAGCCAGTGTGTATATACATGTTAGGCTTGTATTAAGGCATCCCCTTCCCCACAGGTCAAACTGTCAAACTATTGACCTTCCCCAAGATGAAACCCCTCAACAAGCTGAGGTACCTACTGCTAAATGAACAGCCCCATTAGGTGATAGGTGTTTGATGGGGTGTACACTGCCCATTGCTGTAGCCACCCCTCATTCTATAATAATAGATAATAGGAAATGTGCTCAACCATTTGTCCTGCGAGGAATTTGAACCGCACCATCCTCGATTGAGAGTTAAGAACAAACCCAACTGTTCTACTGGAACCTCTATAAATGATAACATACTAGAATAGTTAATGACCAGAAAAATGTAATGAGTTAAGTACTGCACGATTTTATCTTGGGGGCTAACATTCTTGAAAAGTTCAGATAGAATTCTTGATAAAAAGTGTTCATGAATGAGGCTATAATCAGAAAATTCTAGCAAAAAAGAGCAAAATGTAGTGGATTATGAAAAGGTATTCCTTCAGAGGGACATGATAAGGTCCAAGAGAATCAAGACAGTAGACACAAGGAAGAGGAGCAGGGTAACGGGGGGGAAAGGGGGGATTAATCTCCAACCTAACAATGCCGAAAGTGAGTGGGGAACCATCGACCTGTGGAACATTTTCTTGTATGGGTAGGATGAGTAAGAAAGAATTGACAGCTTCAAGTAATATTATTTTATTGAAATATTATTGTTAATTATCTTTTTCCCTTATTTTTAAATATAAGTGGTGCTACATCATCATCTCAGCTTGGCACCTTCTTTTGATAATTACAGTACTTCTTTTAACCTTAAGATTTGCCTTCAACATTCAGCATTATTAGTGACTAGAAATAATAAAGTCTAAAGGTAAACCTCAACCACAGAATATTGTCATGTGTACTTTGTTCTTGATTCTTACTGATTAATTCATCCACTTAGACTAGACAGTACAATGGTGGCCTTGCTTTTTAAAATTCATGAATGATTGACATATGCAGTTTAATGTAGGGATCTGAGTCAAGGTAATAATTCTCATTTGTTGGGAACAGACAGTGTTTGCCTTATCTAGCTCACTCCCTCCCCTACGCCAACTACTGACCTTTCCCAGGATGCAACTGATGACAATTACCTAACTTCCAGGTACCTATTTTACTGCTAGGTGAAAATATGCATCAGATGAAAGGAAACATATCTGTCCATTTCTAATCTACTTTTTGATTCTTGAAATTACAAAATTTAAATGCAAAAGGTCTGGGAATTGGTATACAAAATTGGAATTTAATTTATAATACTGGTAGTATTAAATAAATCTGAAAATTATGTAGTTAAACCCTAATTTTACATTTTGTTGTAAAATTCAGGAAATGCATGAAATATGGATAAATGAAAAAAATTAATACTAGCAATAGTCTCAAACTTAAACTTTTAACATATTTTTGGGCACGATGGTGCCTCATGTTCCATAATATTAATGTAAATTATTTTTTATTTATAACAAAAAGGCTTATCATTTTATTAGGTAATAATATCCAAAGATATATCATATCTTATAATTATAGAGATTTATGAACAAAATCTAGTTTCCAAACATTTCTTTAGTGAAAAAAATATCTTGCAACTCAAGCTGTCATCTATGGGTTAATAGGGATCATAAGTAAAATAAATTCTAATTGTTAAAAATAAGGGGAAATAGAGTAGTGAGAGACTTATTTAGAACATTGTTTTTCTCTTCAGGCTAACGGCTGCGGCAGTGTTGTTGACGCTGGTCAGCGCAGTTGACAGGAGTAATTTTAAAACATGCCAGCAAAGCAGTTTCTGCAAGTAAGTACAGTAGTCATCTATGAGTCTTTTTGTCATTCATTTTACATAAATCAATGTTTGATAATCCTATGTGAGCGCTCATCAAGAGCAATAAAATGTGTATACTCTTTTCAACTTTGTTACCTCAAATCTCATCCTAGGTCTTTCATTTTGGTATCAATGTATTCACAATGAAATTCCCTATGGGAGTATATGCATATACTGTAATGTCCAAAACCGCAGCGCGCCTTCCTACCGCAGCCAAGTGCGAAAGCAGGCCAAATTTGTTCATTTTTGACACCATACTGCGTCGTTAACGAGCGAAAGTGTTAATTAAGATCATCTGGTGGCAAAGGTGACTTAATGTTTTAGAATAAATAATCTGGATAAAGATGATTTGAGTATATTAGATATTGTTTATGCTTTTGTGAATATAGGCAGCACTTTATTTGTGCTGTCCTACTCTTGCAAAATGCACAAATCAAACTTAATGGTATACAATACTGTATTGGAAAGTAGAGTTAGGTTCCAGAGACTTAACAAAAGTCCACTTTTTTCTACTTTTCACTCGGATAAAACATTATTTCAATATTTTATTTTCCTTCCATTTTCTATCCACAAATTTAGCATATAATGAAATCTGTAATTCGTGTGACAGGCATTGACACATAAATATAAGAAAACATTTGTAAAAAAAAGTATTCTTGTACCCTGTACGAGGTAAGCACCACACATACACAGAGAAAACCTGTTCATATTCCACGTTACCACTTGCTGGTGATTTTGATTTCAGTGGCATGCCTCATTCCTTTACCCTTATGAAGATTCATCCAAAAATTATGTTCAGTTTAAGATTCGTTTAAAAAACATAAATAGAACCTAAAGCAATACTCCATTTTCCAGTGTGTTGTAATAAGATAAATTGAATATACAGTATTGTGCATACACAGTAGTTTACTTGATTTTACATCATGCAGAATGTTTATAAATTATATTTAAAATGATGGTATTCTAATGGTCTGTGTTTATTCTTCAGACGTCACCGTGCTATAAAGCCTGGAGAAAGTCCATACATTCTTCTTACTAATACATTGAGTGTAACAGATGAGGGAATATTTGGAGATGTATTGAACGAGAAAAACAGAGTATTTTTCACCCTTGAAATATACCCTCTTAAAGATAATACTCTTCGTATCAAGATTAATGAGAAGAATCCAATTAAACAGCGTTTTGAAGATCCTTATGCTTTGACTGGTGATGGTCAATCTGAAACGTAAGTACTGGTATAATGGCCTTTGTTTTCTTTCGAAATGTCAGCCCTTATGATGAATGATATGGGTGTCATTGATTTGTCATTAAGGGGTGATCCCTTAAAGATGGAAGGAATAATAATAGTTGTTGGAAGACAGTGGAAATAAATGAAAAATTATGCTGTCATATACTGTACATGTTTTTCAACTTGTGCAAACATTAATAATTCTAACATTTTATGTACAGTATATGTTTAGCAGTAGGTGAGAAAGCTGCAGGTGAGGCTGAGGTGTATGTAGGAATTATTAAATGTAGTAAGGCAAAAAGAATTGAGTGAGTGAAAATTTTGCTTCAAATAATGGTATGGTGCCAGAGGATTAAGATAGTGCTGTGACTCAAAAAAATGAAAATTAAGATATACAAGTGTAAGAAGTTGGGGGTGAGGGAAGCTTTAAAGTAAATGTGAACAAAGTAATGTTATGGTAGTGAAAAGTGAATAAATGGTAATCCTTTGGCAATGGTATGGTGCCAGAGGATTAAGATAGTGCTGTGACTCAAAAAAATGAAAATTAAGATATACAAATGTAAGAAGTTGGGGGTGAGGGAAGCTTTAAAGTAAATGTGAACAAAGTAATGCTATGGTAGTGAAAAGTGAATAAAATTCTGTGAAACAAATGTTAATGGTGATGTTCTAATGGTGGTCAATCATTTAAAATATCTGGAATGTGTGATTGATGAGAAGAATTTGGGCAGTTGAAATTAAAATTAGGGTGAATCAAAAGAAAAAGAGCCTGGTGTAATGAAATTCTTTGTTAGGAAAAAGATTAGAATAGATGAGGCCAAATGGCTGCCTGAAGGAGTGGTAATGCTGACCCGTGTGTACAGTTATGTGACAATTGAGGGCTTTGAATATGAAAAGTCACAAGTTATAGAATAGAAAAGGAAATCCTTAAAGCAGGTTGCTTTGATTAGGATTTTCATCTTGAGGAGACAAAAATTATCTGAGCAACATATGAAGAGCATAATTTGTTCACCCATAAATATAAACATTTTGTTGGGTAATTTCTGATCTGGTTAAATTCAATTAAAGATTAAAATGTAATGAATTAATATTTTCTGGGATTCCACATAAATCATAAATTATTTATATCTACATTATTTTTACAGTATAGTTTTTCTGAATTGCATTATAGAAGAACCATTCTTCACTTTTTAGTGACCGATATATGATAAACAAAAAGGTGCTAATTACACTTATTTCATCAGTTGTATGTCTTATGCTAATCAGATAAATTTTTTTGTATTTATTGAACAGATTTGAAGTAATTGACCGATCCTCGGATGGATTTATAGTGAAATTTGGAACAAATCGAGCTATTGTGAAGGCTAAGCCATTAAAGATTGATGTTTATAATGGAAATGAGCTTGTTGTAAGCACTAATGCTCGTGGTCTTCTTAAATTTGAACAGTACCGCAACAAACCAGAGAGGTAAGAATTCAAGCGATTTCTATGATAGTTTGATGTACACTATTATTTTTCTTTAGTATGCAACTACTTTTTACTTTATATATGCACTCTTAGTTCTGCTTTTCGATAAACTTGGGCCCAAATGCAGTTAAAAAAGCCCATTTGTTTTTTAAGCGTGAACCATCCCTCCCTCAAAAAAAAAATTTTGTCCAAAAATACATCACAATAAGGATTTACCAGATACAGTTCTGGAAACTAAAGACTTGACTATTGTACATGTATAAAACATAAGAAGTAGGAATCATTGCAACTGGTCTGTCGGCCAGACAGTGTCTATTTAGATCAACCCCTTTCAGCATGTATCTATCAGCATATTTTTAAAGCTAGTTATATCATCTGCCTTTATGATGTTGGTTATCTGTCTGTTTCACTCTTGAACACTCTGTTGCTCAACCAGTACTTCCCCATATCCTTTCTGAATCTGAACTTCTCCAGCTTAATGTTATGGATTCTGACCTGGTTTGATAGTTTCAAGACATTACTCGTATCTTCCCTGTTGATACCGTTCATCCACTTGAAGACTTCAATCATGTCTACCTCCACCCTTCACCTTTGCAGGTAATGTAGGCCAAGCTACGTTAACCTCTTACTCGTTTTCTCTTGGGATTTCCTGCAAGTAGTCCCTTACCGTTTTGTAGTCTCATGCCCTTCTGGGCTCGTTCTTTGGTCTGGTCAGACTACCTGTTGTTAACCTGATTCAGGGTTTTCTTCTTCATTGCTTCAGGAGGTGATGTGCTCTAATTAATGGAGATCTTGCTCTAGATTATAAATTATGCTGTAGTTCTAGATTATGCTGTAGATGAATGTTAAATGTTTAAAATATCTTTCTCAAATTACTGTAGTTCTGTAATACAGTATAGATATCTCTTAAGAGTCTTTTTGGTTTAATAGATTGGAAAGTCCTGGGCATGGGGTGGGCCGGTCTTAGAGCGAGACGTGAACCTAGCGATGGGTAACATAAGAAAGGATTTTGATGTAGATTCAAAATAAAACTTATTTGAAACTATTCTAAGCAAAGCATAGGAACATAGAATACCATACAAATTGAATAGATCGAATAATAATGACCCAAAATGGATAACTAAGGATTTGATGAACCTTATAGGTAGAAAGAGAGCTTGATACAAAAAAGATTAAGAATGGGGAAGTCAGTTTAGAACTAGAAATCGTCCAACTGGTTAGAAATCTTTTAACAAAAGGAGAGATAAGGAGGGCAAAAAGAAACTTACGAAGTTCGTATAGCAGGGCAAGCAAAGACAAATCCCAAAGGTTTTTCAGTTATATTGAACAAAGATTAGGGAAAGGATAGGTCCATTAAAAACTAAGACAGGTTAGATAACATAAATGATAATGCCGAAGAGATGAGTAATGTTTTAAATACATATTTTATCTTTGCATTTACTGAAGAGCAACGTAACATGTCTTCAGCCAACAAGTCTATATTGGTGGGGAAGAGGACAGGTTGACCAGTTACCAGGGAGGATGTTATTAAACAAATGGTGAAACTCTAGCCAAACAAATCCCCAGGGCCTGACAAAGATTAATAAATGATTAACAACTTGGTTTTACTAATGGCCGTTCATGTTTGCTATAAAAAAATTTGCTATCTTTTAGGCCTGACGAAGATTAATAAATGATTAACAACTTGGTTTTACTAATGGCCGTTCATGTTTGCTATAAAAAATTTGCTATCTTTTATTCCAGCATAGTTGAGGCACTTGATAGTGGTAAGGTTTGTGGCATTGTGTACCTTGACTTTAGCAAAGCTTTTAATACAGTGCCACATGAAAGATTGATTCAAAAGATAGATGCTCATGGTATGGGGGTGCTATATTAAGTTTGGATTAGGGCATGACTACACCAAAGGAAACCGAGTTAGTATAAATGGAGTTAAGCCGGAGTCGGAAAATGTTGTGAGTCGAGTGCCCCAAGGCTTGTTATTCATAATATATATTTAAATGATTTAGATTCAGGGTTTGAGTAGCAATATTTGCAAATTTGCCGAAGATACGAAAATCGGGAGGGAAATAAACACGGTAGAAGACTCGCTATCACTTCGAGACAGTCTAAATTGGGTTTTGAAATTTGTCAAAAGATTAGCAGATGCAGTTTAATGCTGACAAATGTAAGGTTTTGAGGCTAGGTAAAACTGTGATGATAGTTACAAGATGCAAGCTAGATGTTGTTGAGATTGCAAAGTCAGATTGTAAAAGGGATGTGGGAGTTATGATTAGTAAGAATTTAATACCAAAATATCAATGCATAAATGTTTGTGCTAAGGCAAATAGGACACTGGGATTTATTTCTCGAAGCATTAGTAATAAAACACTTGGTGGTGTTCTTCAGCTATAGCTTGCTCTTGTTAGGCCTCATTTAGATTATGCTGTTCAATTTTGGTTACCATTCTTTAGAATGGATGTAAATGCATTAGAACGCATCCTGCGTAGGATGACAAAGTTAACCCCTCAAATTAGAAACCTGTCATGTGAAGAGAGATTGACGAAACATAATTTACAATTCTAGAAAGGCGAAGAATTAGGAGTGACATGATAGAGATGTACAAGTGGATGAATGGGCATAACAAAGGGGATATTAATAGAGTATTAAAAGTATCGACACAAAATATAACACAAAACAATGGGTATAAATTGCGTAAGTTTATATTTAGGAAAGACCTAGGTAAATTCTGGTTTGGTAACAGGGCTGTTGATTTGTGGAACCAATTACTGCTTAACATAATAGAAGTAGGATCCCATGATTGTTTCAAGTGTAGGTTATGAATGAGATTGGGTGGATATAAATAGGAGCTGCCTCGTATGGACCAATAGGCCTTCTGCATTTACCTTCATTCTTATGTTCTTATCCTATACTTTATTGTTCAATAATATAGAATAAAAACTATTTCACAAAAAAATATTAACGAAGTGAAGTATTTACAAATTTGGAACATTGCAGGGACCAATTAGTATGCATTTGCTTAGGGTCCACTGTACAGTTCTTGTATATCTGAAGTTTCCAATTGGAAGATCTTTTAATTAGAGATAATTAAATATTTCAAGCGATGTCCAACCTGCTGAAGGAGAAGAGCATGGAAATGCCTTACCACTTGGTGAGGAAGAGGACACTAATGGTCTTTGGGAGGAGAGTTTTAAGGGCCACACAGACTCCAAGCCTCATGGGCCTTCCTCTGTGGGCATGGATATTTCCTTCATCAACTCAAAGCATGTATATGGGATCCCGGAACATGCCGATTCTTTCTCCTTAAAAGAAACTACGTGAGTAATAAAGGATTCACTTGAAATACCATACCAATTTAACTAACAATGTTTAAATATATTTTATATATAAAATAAGAACTTAAAAAAAGCATTTCAAATACTAAATATCTAGGGCAGTACAAGTAGTTTGTGTACAATACAGTAAGTACAGTGCAGTAGCTGGTGTAATTTTTGGCTCTTAATATGCTTTGCATTAACAATTTTGACTGATAACAGCTTGTTTATGATAGATAGTTTGGTTAGTTGATTACGATCCTGAGGCATCTACACAATTATTAACAAAGACACATATTGTTTCAGATCAACGGAGCCATACCGCCTCTATAACCTGGATGTTTTTGAATATGAATTGGATAATCCAATGGCTCTGTATGGCTCGGTCCCTGTGATGATATCGCATACTCCTAGACAGAGTGCTGCAGTGTTTTGGCACAATGTTGCAGAGACCTGGGTTGACATTAAGGTACTGGGAAAGTATTTTTTTTTATTGTTAGGGATAATAATTTGAGAAATTGGTAAGGGAGTATTTCATATAAATTGAGGAATTTTGTAGCCAGATTTTTGCCACAGAATTGAGTATTGTTAATAAAGATGTGTAATAAAATATGCAAATATTTTGTTACTGTAATTGTACAGTTGAGTGTCTGATACACACAACTTTATATCCAGAATGCTGAATTAATGCATTTCATTTCATTTTGTGGGAGCATTATGTACATATCCTTAAGGTGCATGTCCAGTATTCTGAGGTTTCCTCCCATTTCTTGACAGAAATTACCAGACAGCAATGTTGTTTCTTCTATTGCTGGTTTCTTCTCTGGTGGTGACTCTGACCCTCCTCAAGTCTCTACACATTGGTTCTCAGAGTCTGGTATTATAGACCTGTTTATCATGCTGGGTCCTCGTCCCATGGATGTGTTCAGGCAGTATGGAGCTCTTACTGGATACACCAATCTTCCCCCGGTAATTATTATACCTGTATTTGTTTCATGTTTACAAATTTAATCTGAATGATCCAGGATATTTTTAGTGGGAATTATTACATGAGTCACGATTATTCAGATTTCTATTTTATCAGTGTCTCCATAAAGTGTGGAGAAGATCTTCTACACTATCTTGAAGAAACGTGATCTGGGTACATTCTTGTGTATTTGAGTCCATATATGGATACAAGAAATGGAGCTAGTGGTTTCTTGTATTGGTCAAGTGGGAGTAAACACTACTAATTTACTTAAAATATTTATTAATTGAGTATTCAAGTTCTTTTATTATTACCATATTGAAAACCATGACTGAGGTGAAATAAGATGTAGAGAATGAACTTTCTATTTTGCTGTTGTCCAGTCAGTGAGAGTAATTGAAGTAATTATTTATAGGTTATTGTTGAAACAAGTATTGAGGAATTGAAATCATATTTTTAATCAACATTGTGAATATTTGCTAGTGATTAAACTTAATTTGATGTACAACAGTTTTCTCAGTGTACCATCAGAAACTTGTTGTCATTGGTACAGCATACTAATCAACTTTAACATCATCAAACCCAACTGGAGCTGCATGAAAGAACACTGTTTGTGTATTCATCAACAATACCTCACTTGTGCTAGTCCAAGCACATTCATGCTGGTTTCCAAGTTTATGTGGCAAAAGGTTGGATGATGAAAACCTCTGCAAATACAATGCATCTGTGGATTTGAAAAGTACTGGGAAGTGAACCTGAGGAGGAGCCAACTTGAAATCATGCTCAAACGAGGACAGAAGATGGGTAAAATCCTCTGCCCGCAGTCCAACCTACCATATATAGAACAAAAGAAAAAGAAAGGTTGAAGAGCACCCAGGGACCCAACTCGGACTCCTCCACCAACCTTGGAAGTCAGAAATGAAGACTTGGGAGTAGAGGTATGTTCAGCACTTGATCAGACAGGGAGACGTCATCCAAAACTAAAGGATTGTAGTTAAATACACTGTTTGTGAAATAGGAGGCTTCGAAGCCACAGCAGAATAGGACAGCTCAGCTGTCGATATAGAAGTGGAAAACCCTGGAGGCAGTCATGCTACACCCACAGCTAAACCCTGCCCAGACTCTGAAACCTTCAGATGTTTCGAAGCCTGGTGTAAAAGGGGTAGAGTGTGACAAAGGACCTGGTGTATCACAGCAGAGGGAACTAGGGAAGGAGGAGGGGCTAACTTTGAACAGGTAGAGTTCACCAGATACTTCAGCTCCTAATCCCTATACACCATAGGGGCCAACTGCAGGATATCCATGCAAGCTCGAAGTCACAAACAACAAAAAATGCGGGAGAAGCAAACCCATAAAGCGGCAGTTACCTGATAAGCATCTTGCTTAGAAGAAGGCTGCTAGAATAGACAAAAGATGGGCAACGCTTACTGAGAAAATAGTTGGCAACCCTAAAGGCTGGCGACTCAAGCAGCCATTCAAACTATTGGATATAAGGTGAAGAACTGAGGATTGTTGAAGGATTTTGCAGCTCCCAATGGTTCTGCCACCTGGCAGTGGTCATCTTTAACTAGGTCTGGGTTTGCTCTTAATTATTGGGTGGATCATTTGTGTAGTCTTTTGATGTTTCATTTCTTTTTCTTTGTAAACCTTGCATTTGTCTGTTTTGTTTGCTTCCTTTCAGTGTGTTTCTTGAGTAAGGCTGCTCTTAAAAATCACCTGTTCCCTGCACAAAACTCTTTGAGGGGACAGGTAATTGCCTCTTTTGTCCAATACACAATTAAGGCCTCCAAGGGCTGATGTTAACTGAGGAGCTATGTCAGTGCAGATATCTATAGAGAGCAACTGTTCGACTACTCCAGAAAAACATTTGTACCTGACTTAAAGCTAGGAGATAATCTTAATAGCATCAGTTGTTAACAATACCTTAGGATGTTTGTAATAGAGCTAAATATCCTATAGTGTATTCTATACAGTATTGGATTTTATTTATATATACATTACCATCACCTCCTTCCTACTTTCTTGTGGTGGGTAGGTATCACCCTGGGGAACCTGGTTGATACCTGGCTGATGGGGTTCTGGGAGTTCTTATACTCTCCAAGCCCGGCCTAGCAGGCTTGACCTGTGAGAATTTGGTCCACTAGGCTGTTGCTTGGAGCGGCCCACAAGCCCACATACCCACCACAGCCCGGTTGATCCGGCACTCCTTGGAGGAAACAATCTAGTTTCCTCCTGAAGATGTCCACCATTGTTCCTGCAATATTTCTTATGCTCGCTGGTAGGGTGTTGAACAACCGTGGACCTCTGATGTTTATACAGTGTTCTCTGAGTGTGCCTATGGCACCTCTGGTCTTCACTGGTTGGGAAAAAGGGGAATAATATGAATGGATTCACATTCATTCATTTAAAAGAAAATTATCACTTGTGAATTTAAAATGTGTTAGGCAGATACAGTAAATCAGATTTAGAGCAGGAGTAGGGGGAGGTATTTCAAAATGTGAACAATATTTGTTAAATTGCACAGCTGTTTTGTGGAATGGGCTACCATCCATGTATCATTGAGCTTCAATTATTCAAGAACTGTCTGTGGAACTTTATTCAGGACTAACTAATATTAATCAATTTCCAATGTTATGCATTGTTAAATAGCCATCATTGCATTTGCAGTGGCCTATAATAAAATATCAAGAGGAGGCTTTTATAGAAAATGTAATGCAGACATTGATTATATGAATAAGTTTAACGAGAATTAAGATTGAAATCTTTACCTTCAGATGTTCAGCCTTGGATATCATCAATGTCGCTGGAACTATAATGACGAAGAAGATGTTCAACAAGTTAATGAAAACTTTGACAACCATGACTTGCCAATGGATGTGCTTTGGCTTGATATTGAACACACTGATGGGAAAAGGTATGTTAGTTAAGGTAATTATTGCATGTAGGATTTTGAGAAGGATTTTACTCCTGTTACTAACATATAGAAAAAAAAAATGAGGGACTTTTCTAGTTTCTCTCCATTGAGTTGTTTATGTAGTTTTCCTTTATACATGTGTGTATTCCATAATTACATTTTCTTTCTTTCATTATGTGGGAGGTGAGAAAGGGTGAGTGTTAGAGATATTTTACAGTAAAGGCTGGTAAATAGAACTAAGAGTGTTAATGATATTTAGTGATAGTTAAACAATGTTGTTGGGTCTCCCACACTTGGTGGCATCGTGGTAAGTTATTACTAGGGCAATTTAGCAACACAGTCACAGCAGTATTTCAGAGAATCAATTGAATAGGTATAAAATTAGACCAATAGAATAAATGTAAAATACTCTTTTGAATTGTTTCTAGACACCCAAGTCTACCATGTACAGTAATTGCAAGTAGGACTTGCAAAAAAAGTGATTTTGAATGAATGGGGCATAACAAAAAGGTAATAATTAAGGAATCGTCAGTTTTTCTTCCATTGCAGTTGTCCTTTTAAAATGTTGGTAACCTTTATTAAATAACACAGGAAAATCATGTGTTTGGTAGTTTGTAGATGAACCATAGTAGAAATTGCTTAATGGTAAACATTTTCAATATAGAATTTCATATACATCAACTATGGATGATTTGAATATCTGAAATGTAAAAAGAACTGTCTGTTCCAGTTATGAGAAAATATTTACATGTACATTTGAATATTTGTTAGGTACTTCACCTGGGATCAAAACAAGTTTCCACACCCTCTGGAGATGACAGCCAACCTGACTGCTCGGGGCCGTAAGCTGGTCACTATTGTTGATGTTCACATCAAGCGTGATAGTAATTATTTCTTTTACAAGGAAAACCATGACCGTGACCTCTTTGTCCATACAAAAGAGGGAAACGAATATGATGGTAAGAAAATATTTAGCTTGACAGTATCTACCAATATTTAAGACTTTCTTTTATGATATAAAATCATTTCTCAATATTTATAATTTTTTTTTTTACAATACTGAGTAGATGGTTCAGAAATGACATGATTAAATATTTATATATAAGGTTGGTGCTGGCCTGGCTCGTCGTCATACCTTGACTTAACTAACCCGGAGACCCGTAACCACTACAGTGACACGTACATGTTGGACCGTTACAAGGTAAGGGGAAGGGAAGTATCAGGGAAAGCAGCAAGCCATTACGACTATATAGCGCTTGGAAGGGTTTAGGATAAGGATGTGGGATGGTACGGTGGGGACAAGAATGGTGAAGGTAAGGGGAGCAGTTGATCATTTTAGAAATACTTCTGTAATATGTTATTTTATAAACTGTTACTAATTTAACAATGGAGGAAATCTTTTTTAATAAATTAGGAATAATATACAATATTGCCTTAAAACCTAGGTTTATATACTGGATTCCTGCTTGGCCAGCTGCCATGGTAACTACAGTGTACTGTATTCAGTTGTTGACAGGTGGGGTGCAGTCATGCCCAGATGTTTTTACCACCATGATATGACACATTGATTAGATTAACAAATTTGTTTGAATAAAATTGTGTGGGAGTATTTTTTTTTTTTTTTGCAGAGGGGGTGAAAGTACAGATATTTAAAGTGTGTTTGTATTGGTCTATCTTTGTAATATTAGTAAAGTTTACTGTACAGTTTCTACTGTCAGTACTTTAATCCTTTGGCCTGAAGGTTCAAGGTTTTCTGCTGAATTTTGTATGTGTGAAAATTGTAAGCCATGTTTATCACTACCTGTATGGAATCGTATGGGAATTTTCTTAGTTTCTCACTTGCATCTTTAAGGCTGCAGTATACATGCAGGCAGTGGCATTAAAATTTGTTTCCAAGCACAATGTTTTAACTTACCAAACACTATGTGAAGGATAAGTTTTGTAATTGTTTTTTTCCATTTTTTGCTGTATGACTTTCACTAACAATTTTTTTGTATTACCATGAGGTGATGTGTAAAGTAATGTCACAGTCCAGGCATTAACCATTGACTAGTTTCATTGTTAATTTATTTCAGGGCTCAACCTTAGATACCTTCATCTGGAATGACATGAATGAGCCATCAGTGTTTAATGGTCCCGAAGTCACAATGCAGAAGGATAACATTCATCCTGGTCTAGGTGTTGAGCATCGGGAGATTCATAATGTCTATGGCATGCTCTTTGTAAGTTGATTTGGTGTATTTTTGTGATTTTTGGTATATTGCTGAAGTTCACATTTCTTCATTAACTAGCTAAGTTCTAACTAAAGAATTTGTGGGGTAACATATTCTTTCTGTATACTGTATCTGTTTAAAAGGAAGAATCCAATTAATTGCAGTAACTGTAAGCATTTTGGGTAACATACATATATTAGTCTAAATTTTTATCCAGACACTAAGGCATTAATTTAAGAAATAATCACATTACATTGGTAAGTTTAATACTGCACAAAGGTAATATGTAGAATACTGTACCAAAGTTTAAATAATAAGTACGTACTCGGTTAAGGTATTAATTCTCAAGTAATGTACACTAAAGGTACTCTAACTCATTTCTAATCATGTAACCTTTAAGAAAATTATCTGGACATTTGAATTTAAACTGTTAAAGGATAATTTTGATAAATGTTTGTAAACTTGAATTAGAGAAAAAGACATTGTGTAAAAAATTTAATTGCTGAATAAATTAGTCATTTTAGCCACTGATCCTCCTGACTCGGTAAGCTAAAAACTAATAACACAACAATAATCTAGATGTCAAGGAGGGTCCAAATTTTATCTTTACAAATATGTCAATGTTATAGATTAGTGTGGCACAAGGCTGAGGGGAGAATCAAATAGTTTGACGCATTATTGCCATGTTGTGTCTGACTGTCTCTTCAGAGTTTGGGGCTTTCATTTGGCTGAAATATTTTAAAATATATTAATGGATTAACATCATTTACAAGCTCGTCCCTTTGTCATACATTTATTTTCATATTTTCATTATTTTCATATTTTCATTATTTTTATATTTTCATATTTTCATTTATGTACAGTAGTTAATAACAGTTCTGGTTATAATGCAGTATGTATAGCAATGAAAATCCTCAGGGAAATGTTATTAATAAATGTGCATACTGGCTGCAGTAATGGTTCCTTCTGAAAAGATAATACAGTTGGTTTTCGGGTACATTCCTTTTGACCTGCATAATCTATATTTGTTCTCTACATTTGTGTATTTGATGTATTGTAACAGCTGCGTTTTTTTGCATTGAAATTAGCTGGTTGATTTCTGGAAGTCACTGTGATGTCGGAGAATGCAGCCAAGAGCATAATTTACACATTATTATTATGAATGTAAAACCCCCACAGAAAAAATGAGATGCATGTTTGTTCATGTTTTGAGCCAAAGGTAATAAATTTGTTAGTTATAAATATTAATTATGTGTAAGGTTTTCTTCATTATTTAAATTTTTTTAAATTTTAAATGGTTTCCACAGCATCAAGGTACTTTTGAAGGACTATTGCGTCGATCAGATGGTCGGTTAAGGCCTTTCATCTTGACCCGTGCTCACTATGCTGGCACCCAACGTACTTCATCTGTGTGGACTGGGGACAACACTGCAGACTGGGGTCACCTGCGTATATCGGAGCCCATGCTGCTCTCTCTCTCTGTAACTGGTATCACGCAAGTGGGTGCTGATGTTGGCGGATTTTTTGGAAATCCAGATTCTCATCTTTTATCTCGATGGTACCAAGTATGTTCAATTTTTTATTTTAATGGCTTCATTAATATATAGATAATAATAATTTCTATTAAATAGTTGTACATAGTTAATAAAAACAAATGGTGCGTGTGAGGTTATCAAAATTAACAAAAATATATTGATAGCCAAGCAAGTTCTTTAAGTTTAGCATCAATAGGGAAAAAAATATGAACGAGCATGAATATTGATATTTGTGAGAACTTGTATGTACACTTGTGAATGAAGTAAGTTAAAGGTAATACAGTGAAGGACAGGCAAGTTATTGAAGGAATTTCGTGGAAACTGGAGAACATTTATGGCTGGTGGTACAAAGTAAAACAGTGAGGAATTAGACTTTGGGTAGAAGCAGCTAACGAGTATTTATTACAAACAACATTTTACATATGAGAGTTTGGTTGAAATTTAGTGATTGTATTTGAAGTAAATCTGTAATTTTTGTTGCCTGTTTAGGTTTTATGTGAGGGAGTTTGTGTGCAGTGAATGAGTGCATGAGTGAGTGCATTGTTGAGTGCATGTTGCATGCAAGAAATGTTGTTACTGTATATTTTTATTATTTTGTAATATTTATATCAGGAAAATAATCTTTTATACAGTATAATTACTGGACCTGTGCATGAAGTTGTGATGAGTTTTTATTTCACTATTAAAAACAAATTCCTGGTTTTGCCTACAGGCTGCAGCATTCCAACCCTTCTTCAGAGCTCATGCTCATCAAGACACCAAGCGCCGTGAGCCCTGGTTGTTTGATGCTGAAACTCTTCGCATTATTAGAAATGTTCTTCGTCAGCGTTATCAGTATCTTCCCCTATGGTATACCCTCTTCTATGAAAATGAGCTTACAGGTAAATTAGCTAGTTGTGATGTTTCCATATACAGTTTTACATAAGTGACTGCGTGATAGTGCTTTGTAAGATAACGTTGGATGATGCTGTTCTCTAAAAGATTCAGGAAGTCAAAGAAAAGCCTATAGGTTTGGAGTACAGGAGTTGAGTACAGAACAAGAGTTTGTAGTGATCTTGAAATAAAACACTGTTAAGAGTTGAAGCTTAGAGATGAGGATGGATGCAAATAAAAGTTGGTTTAGAGCAACAAACACACGTGTGATGATGCAGATATTAGAATGAGTAAGCTTGTGGTAGAATGAAGTGGCAAGAGAATGATGAAATGAGGAGTGGGTTATGTGGATTCAAAGTAAGAAGAAGGGAGAAAAGTGTATATGAAATGCTCAGATAAGTAAATAAAATTTCAATTAAAGTTGGGAATACAGTGTTAATTTTCTTCATTGAACAGTGTGAGGCAAAGCCGATTTGCTGCATAAGGAATTTTATTTGACCTGTTAGATCTCTTTCAACACCCCAGGTAAAAAAATAGAAAATAATGTTGAGAGGGCCCATATTTACTGCACTGCATATATAGTACAGGGTTTTGTTACTTGCCTTACCTTGGTGCCTTCTTTTGATAATTACTTACTTGCTTTACCAGTAGAGTAGTGTAGTGAAATATTTGTAAAGTTAAATAATAAAAAAATATATATACAAGAACAAATCTTGTCACCTGGTGGTCTTACCATAATGTATGGTTAATGTGGCTCTTAGTCTTTATGAAGTGAGGTAGTGGTGCTTATAGATAATTTGCTGGAATGTATTGGTGATCGATTCCCCTGATACTAGTGAATGAGAGAAACTTGATGAATGAATGGGTCATTTTTTTTTTTTTTTATTATTATTTATTATTATTATTATTATTATTATTATTACCACCAAGGTGAGCAGTTCTGTGCCTCTAAAGGGCTAATGTTTGTTATAATGTAAGCATCTGCTTTGTACTAAAATTGACTGAACTTTTTTCAGGTGCTCCACCAATGAGGCCTATTTGGGTAGATTTCCCAGAAGATGAAGCTTCATTTGCAATTGATTATGAACACATGATTGGCTCAGCACTTCTTGTTAGACCTGTTGTGGATGAAGGAGCAACCACAGCATTTGTGTATTTCCCACCAGGAATTTGGTATGATGTACTAGATTTAACTGCTTTCAGCGGCCCCAGCAGCACCACCGTGTCTGCACCCAGAGACAAGGTATGTTGCTAATATCCTTTTTAATTTCTTAACCTTTCCCATCTTGCTTTTTTTTTAGATATTCAAAATTTCAAGCACTGGAGTGCTTGGCATGAATTTTTTGTATAAAAGGTTTGAGCAAATAGATAAATTTGCTAAATAAATAAATTTATCTAATTTAATAGATAAATAGGGGTCTGGTTGCACCAGTAGTGTTGGTCCCCAAGTTGAGTTGTAATGACTACTAAAGGATTAGTTGTTAGAAGCTAGTTGAAAACTACTGTACACTTGACCCTGATGTTTTGTTAATGTATTTGTACTATTGCAGGTATGATTTGTCTTTTACCCTGATTCCCTATTCTGTGATGCCGTTCATCATCAAACTCATATTATTGATTACTTAAAATCTCAATGGGATATTTGGGAAAATAATATATAACAAAAAATGGTTGATTATTTAGAAAAATAACCTTTGTTTCTTCTTTTGACTTAAACAGATTCCAGTTTATCAGAGAGGTGGAAGTATAATACCCCGCAAAGATCGAGTCCGACGTGCATCTTCACTAATGCGTGATGACCCCTATACTTTATCAGTAGCTTTGGACTCAAATGGAAAAGCTCAGGGAACTCTTTACATGGATGATGAGCATACATATGACTATAGACAGGTAAGGAAAAGTGTGGTAATAAACAACACCATAGTCATGGAATTGACAAAATTACTTTTTTTTTTACTGATAATCACCTTATGGTATTTAAAAGTTGAAGTTGGCTTTTAATGATTTCTCTTTTTCATCTTCTATAATATTAGCTACCTCCTCCTCCTCCTCCATTAACTATGATGTTTCACACTGTGTATATCACATAATTTTTCTAATTTTTCATCAGTGATCTTCTCAGGCATCTAATGCAATTTATTCTTAAGCTGATAACATTAGTTTGCACTCACTTCAATTATATACAGCTTGCAGCCTTCAGTGAATCTCTGATCTTAATTCAATCTTCAGTTAACAGGTTGAGGCTTGTCAGCACTATCTTGAGACATTAATCATTAAGTCCCCCTTCCCCTCCCTCCCTCCATCATTATCCTAGGCATCACATGTGACCTGAGAAAAATGCCACTGTCTGTTTGCCATAAAATGCCACTTCTCCATTACTTGAGAATGTAAAGGTGAGCAGATTGTGACACCGATTTCCACTGTCCTGGGAAAACTTTAAGTTTATAATATTTCACTTGTCCATTACTTGAGCTCTACAAAAAGAGATGATTAGAAACAAGTAGAGCATACATCAAAAGTCAAATGGGTGGAAGTAGTAAAAGAGGCGCTGATGTGAACATGACTGGTTTGATGGTGTTAGGTGAGGTGCTAATGTGAACATCATTGGTTTGATGGTTTAGTGGGAGAGATTTAAATAAATGTAATCCATAATATCAGAATTGGTGTATGCTTGTCGTTCTTCTAGCAGTAAATGGTAGAGATATATACTGGTAAGTTAAAAGTGTTGTTGATTTAAATGCAAGATGACTGCCAGAAGTTAGCTGAATTTAAGTAAATTAATGGTGGTGTAGTGAATATGGTACTGGTTACCATGTTTAAATTAGGGGCAAATAGAGAAGTGTGTCAGAGAAATTTGAACCTAAGTTAGGGGGTACAATATGTCAAGGAATACAAATGGCTGGTTCAATTAAAGTCCAAGATAGGAATATTGTGATAAGAAGGGGGACATAATTAGAAGATGTGTATTGAATTTATAGTCTGTCTTAAAATATGGAAGTGAAATATTGATGTATCATGGCCATGAAAAATTTAGTCAGTATATTATTGGTAATCTGTGAAGCATGTATTGATTGATTGATTTAATTATTATGTAAAGAAAAAGAATGTTGTTATGTTCTAAAGTCTGTGACCTTTATGGCTGAGGAATGAACAATATGATATTGTGAAGATTAAGAATTTTTTTTTAATAAATTTGGAAGTTGGAAGAATGTAAAGGTGAGCAGATTGTGACAGTAAGAAAAAGTAATATGTATATCAATATTGCACAAGTTATGACAGTGACTTGAGCCAAGTGGAATAGGAAGGGAATGAATGACTAACATAATGTTGAAAACATTTATATGCAGTACAGAACAGTACTTGATACATAGTTTATGAAGCAGCAGTGGTGCCATGTTTAGATACTTTATTAGCATGTGGTTGAAATAGTTTTCCAAGAAGGACATTGTAAAAGAATGGGCATCTATGAATATTTCCAAGTTAGTGCCACTCTGTGAAAAGCAAAAGACCTATGTAATGATGACTACATATATTTTATGGTTTATCCTATTTAACATTAAATTTAATTTTCCTTAGGGAAAGTTCCTGTATTTGGCTCTGTCATATGAAAATGGAGTATTGACCTCAAAGAAGATAGATCCTTTTGGAACTTACGAGACTGGATCTTGGCTGGAGCGAGTTGTTGTAATTGGACTTAAGAAACGCCCATCCAAAGTTACTATACAGAGTGCCTGTAAGTCTGGTCTTTATAGTACATACCTGAGTCGTAATTCATTAATAACAAATTTTGTGTATTGCATTACCTCTGATAAAATTAATAGGTACTTCTGTTAGAAAAATAATACTATAGAAAAAAGCTCAGCATTTTTTTTATATGAATTAATTTAAGGAAAGAAAATTTGTAACTGCAATATCTGTAATGGTATGTAGAGTATGTAGATAAGAAACTTGGTGATTTGGTTGTATACAACCTTAACATTGTTTTTATAATATAAACATTGATAAGTTTAAAATGTCTTATATTCAATTGTTATAGTGTCATGAATATAATACTTAATACAGTATTTAATGCTCCTACCCAAATAATAATTTTGCCTTGTTTATTCCACAGCTCTAGGTACGCGTGATTTGGAGAGCTTCTTTGAAAGTGGTACAGGCACCCATGCTAGTCATTTCACCATACGTAAGCCAGGAGTTAGCATGAATGAGGCATTCACTATCACCATCCATTGAGAGAGATTTTATTAGACAATATAGTGCTACTTGTGTTGTTGATTGTGGAGGGGTTAAGACACTCATCTTGAAATTTGCTTTGTAAAGTAGTTAAGGATCTAATGCAAGGGTGCAAAGAGTAAATAATTGTATTTATTATCAAATGGATAATAAATAATATTTATTATTTATTATCATAATTGTATTTGCAGTGAGGTGTTTAGTGATGTGGTGGTACATGTGAAATGTATCGTTGAACAGTTCCCTCCCCTTCACTGTGTGCATGTTGGATGTGTGGGAGACCATTTTTACTCGTTAAAAAATACATTTTTTGTAACAATTGTGAGGTGTATAAATGTAGCTTCTATAATATAGCTGAATAAATCTGCACATGAAGGTTAATGGTATATGTTATATATTCATATATGGGTTGTATCTGCATAATTATTAATTATACTGTATAAGCTTTGAAAGGGAAGAAAGTTTGCGTACACAAACAAGACGTATTAATTAGATTAATGTATATATGCATTTGTTTCACAAAATTGCAATATATAACAAAACCTGGAAGATGAAGAATAGATATTCTAATTTTATTTAAAATTTTAGTAACTGCAAAACTGAAACACCTGTATGGCAACTGTTATTATATATTAATATTTAAATAGTCACATTTATTTTGAAGAATGTGGTCCTAATTTGTTTGAAGATATTCCTCCAATAATTTCTCATTTTCCCATGATTATGTTTAATCATGTACATCATTTAGTCTTGTGAGAACTCACCCGGGGTGAGAATTGCCTGTAATAAGGGACTGAAACTCAATTGGGTCTGTGCTCTGTTGTGAAATTTTCTGAATAGGTTACACATTTATCTTACCTGTTGTAGGTTCATGTGCACTGAACACTAAGATAATGTTTTTAAACTACATTTTTATTAATTTTCTTTAGCTATGTGATGTGGGCCTTCATAAAAATGTAATTTGAAGTGCTGTCTTTTGTGTTTAAACCTTTCTCAAAAATGGAGATTATACATGGTGGCTGCTTTATTTTCAAGGTGTTAATATTGAATTCTTTTATTGATTTAGAGTGAGCAGTTTCACTTGAAAAGACGAGAAAATTTATCATGCTCAACATAGCTTTTATGGGCCTCCAGGTTTCCTACAGTCAGTTGTTTAGGTTATGAATGGCTTTTTGGTTACATCATTTGGGATTTTTTTTTATTCTTCTGTGGAGTTAGAATTTCAACTATGCTTGGTGGATACATAATCAGTTTGTTTCTATTCCTTTAATTATATTTCTTCAAGATGAAATTTTACTAATTTATTCTAGTAAAGTAGATTTGGAGACAATTTAATGAAAGACTATCTAGCAGAAATCATATAATTGATATATTAATTAAAAATGCACTTCATTAGTATTCTACTTGGAAGTACTATTTTGGTAATGTGATCTAGTGAATACCCAAATGGGTCAAGTCTTGGTGTGGCATAATACTGTATATTTAGATATCCATTTGCATAAAATATAGTTTCTCATTGGTTATTAAACAATAGACTTAAACAATAGGTTTCATATAATGTCCTATGCAAATTTTTGTCATTTTACAAATGTTTACATTTTTGGTGCTGTAACAAAAGCTACAATTGTTTTTTCCTAATTGTTTTTGGATAAGTTTGTATATTAAATTATTTTTCAGTATAAATTGTCAAATGGTAAATCGAGATCTCGAGTTATTGGTGCTTAATGGCATAAAGCACCAATAAAGTTATAAACAGTCTTCAATTAAAATTGAAGCATTGAAACGTAAAAGTGATCGATCCGTGCTATATTTTAAGCACCTTGTTCCATCTGGAAGCTGTCTATTCTTTAAGGCGATAGTTACATATAATCCTCTCTTGGTATTTTGAAGACCTTCATTTGTTAAAAAGACTTCTGAGAAACACCTGAAATATAGTGAAAGAATTTAACATGATTTTTATTATTTTCAAAGAGAAGTAGTTGCTACTTGCTTACACTGGAAATTGAGAATGTGTGTAAAGAATGAGCACTTTAAACACAAGTGAAAGATGCTTAAGGCGATATGCAAAAAAAGATGGAAAGGCACAAGTAGAGGTAAACAAAATAAAGAGCAGACCACTAGTAGAGTGCAGTGTAGGTAAACCCAGAGGTCATAGTGGGCAATTCATATAATTGCTAGCTCCTTTACTCCTTTACAATTTTCATACTAGTGCTTTCATGACTAAAGAAATTTAATAAATATGTTTGGAGGATGTTCTCTTTGTGACCTAATGTTGACATTCCTGGATCTTCAGTAAAGCCCCCACCCCGTACTCTTCTGTGGTATCTGCTTCCTGACTATGTCCACATGCATAGTTGTAAAACTTAATCTGTTGCTACCTATTCTTTTCTGATACCTCATTTTCCCTCATAGAAGTGGCACTGCCCAGTGCAGTCCTTGCGGCATGTATAGAGCCCCTTGCCTGTACACTGTTGTCTTTGGAAAAAGTTTTGGGTAACATCATAATCATGCACACCACTACGTCAAATCCAGAAGTGAAGGCTTCTTTCCACCTTTAGACATTTTGACCATCAGTCCATACTTTTCTTTTGCCTCCCTATGCTCATCCAACACGTTTCCATTTCCACTGACTCTTTCTCCTCTTATTTGAATTATAAAGTAGTATTTGTATAAAGTTCTGGTTGTAAACAATGATTTTCACTGGGAACATAAGTTTTAACATGAAGTATAATGGAGTACTAGATTAACACTTTGGGAGGAATAAATATCCAAGAGGTGAAGTGCAAGGCCAGATATCTGTAATTCTGTATTGTACTTATTGACACTGATAGGTATGCCACTTAACTGAGTTGTCTGTCATGAACTTTGAAAATGATGATGCACCCCCTGCAGCTTGGAATATTTTGTAAAAATTGTCATCCAGTAAAGTATTGGGACTTGCATAATGAGAAAGGCATACTTATTGCAATTGCATGTAATAACATATCCTTGAACTTAATTTATGTTGCAGTTTCACACTTAATTCAGCAGGGACTGTAAAGAGACATGTTGAGAAGTGAGGGCCCCCAGGTATTTACGCCAGCATTACTGGGGACAATGCTTGTTACTTGGCTGCAACAGCCTGTGTTGAGCCAAAATTCTGGCTTTCATTGTTAATATTATTAGGAATTAAAGTAGCAGCTCTGTAGAATTATTTTCCACCTCTTTTTGCATAAGTTCTCTCTCCTATACAAGTTTTTCATGAATGTTTATTACATTCCCTACCAACATACTTCAGTAATGTGTAAGAGAGTATTGAGGTAGGAATTAAACTAGATTCTTTGATAAAATAGCGTTCATCTAGTAACGTTTTTTACATGCTCTGTTGGACAACTTTTGTTCTTTAATCATAAAACCATCTTAATTTAGTTTAGAAAAATTATACACTATTCATTTTTGTTCAAAGGGTACGGGATTTGTTTACGTCTCATAGGTGTACTGTATGTGTTAGGGTAAGTTATATTTATCTATGTAACAATTGTAACGTTTAGAGTGCTTACTGAAGTGTAGTTGGTTTATGTTGCTTATTATCTTACATTTATATAGATATATATATATACAAATGAATTTGTACTTAAAATGTGATTATTCAAAGTTTTTCAAAGAATTTAAAAGAATGTTGGTTTGTAGGGTATTTAAATATGTTTAACTAGATAGGAAAATATTTATTACCCAGATTTTGAAAGAAAATATAAATTAAAATTTTATAGGAAGTTAATTTTTTTTGAAAAGTAGTTTTTTTTTGTTTCTTGGAGTTCCACAGTTAATATTTCATTTAGTCATCAACTTAGGGTTTTCAGGAGAGTGGTTTCTAATGTAAAGTTTCAAAGTACTGTACAATAATACAAAAGGAACTCAATGTAGGCAAGGCAATAGCTGAAGTAGCTTAATTTTTGTTACCCATCAATATCCAATGAGCTGTGAAAGGTATATAGCACAGCTTAACAAATACAAAAATAGATAAATACCAATTGTCTACAAATCACTAAAACTGGGTAGAAATGCAAAGACTAAATAGAAATTATATACAATGACATTTGTTATTACTTGGTTAGTATTTCTATAAAGTATAGATTACTTACGAGTAAAATATTGTCAGAATATATTGATTGTCCGTGCAGTTATTTTCATAACCTCTATGAAAAGTGAAAATTTGTAACCATAAAGGTATTTATAAACCATAGTCTAAATTCTCTGTATACTAGCTCATTTTTCTCATATCGAAGAAATGTATTTCAAAATTGTTGGGTATGCAAATTGTTTCATCTTAAAATACAGGCTAGGTAGAATTGAAGTGATTTGTTCTAAAATGCAGTCATGTATGTAATATATTTTCATGTATGTATGTATAGTTCTCACCCATGTCTTTTGTTATCAGGAGAAAAATAAATGACATAAGCTGCTATTAATTAACAATTATATTTTTTACTTGATATTGTGAATATCAAATGGTTAAGAATTTATAATACTGTATAGGATTTCAGGTTATTCTATACTAAATAGTTAATCTAAATAATATTTAATAAAGAAGAAGTACTAGGTACAGTATATATCAATACAGATGACAACCAAGACTTGAATAATTTTTTTATTTGGATAAACTTCAGATATAATATTTGAAGCTATGTTTAAGAAATATCTTGCAGTTAATAAATTTTTGTTGTGTGAGTGTCTGCCACTTTTCACACATTCCAGATGTATATGAGTGCACAATATGTAGAAAAATAAAGAATTTTATACACATGCTATTTTAAAATCCTCTTGGTGATATATTTAGTATAACATTTAATTGTACAGCCTTAACAATGTGTGCTGCTGGATGAAGTCTCCAGTTAAGATGACAAGAAGATGGTCATTGTGCTACCTGGTACAGAGCAGTACAGACACCACCAGCTACCTGGTACAGAGCACCAGCCTTCAGTACAGACACCATCAGCTACCTGGTATAGAAATGTTACCGGGTACAGAGCACCAGCCAGCCAGGTACAGACACCACCAGGGGCTGAAGATTGCATGACACAAAACTGCGGCTAAAGACTTAAGCATATGCGGGGATGATAGGGATTAACATGACAGAAGAAGAAAGTTTAGTTATTGTGAATTTACATTCCCTCTCACTATTTACTCGATTGTAATAAGTTCCAGCAGTTAAGGAATACTTTTCTAAGTGGCATTATGTCAGTGACAGATGCAGCCAAATGCCTGGCTTTTTAAGGATTAACAGACTCAAACATAATTAATTCCCATTAAATAATTATAATATATTAATGCATAGATACAGAATTATGAAACAAAAACGCCGTTGTGCCTTTAAAGTACAGTGTAATGACTAGTATATAAAGTTTACCTTTTATGGTTGGTAATATAAATGTTTCTCCTAGTTAATATACCAGTTTATTTTATTTGTGTTTGAGAGAAAATATAATTGCGGTATGCGTCCTTCAACCCCTATTCGTGTCTACTGAAGGTCGGTGCTCCATACCCAGTAACATATCCTGTTTCATTTGTGTTTGAGAGACCCAACCACTTGAGCTGGACGGTAGAGCAACGGTCTCGCTTCATGCAGGCCGGCGTTCAATCCCCTACCGTCTAAGTGGTTGGGCACCATTCCTTTCCCTCCGTCTCATCCCAAATCCTTACCCTGATCCCTTCCCAGTGCTGTAAGTCGTAATGGTTTTTGCGCTTTTTGCTGATAGTTCCATTTCCCTTGTGTTTGAGAGTATGTATTAGTAAATGAGTATAATTCTGTGTGTAAAAGTTTTCCCGCGCGTTTTCGTGAGAGGCGGGTGCCCGCCCTGCAGGAGGGAGGGAGAGACGGCTGAGACTCTTCACACACAGGTGGTGTGGTGTGGGCTCGTCAGCTACTCGCCTCGTTGTGTCAGGTTATTGACCTCCTTTTATATCTCAGTGTCTGCAACTGTAATCGTTAATCTGGTGAGTGAGATTTTTTCATTGTTAGTGTATTATCACTTGTGTTTAAATAAATGTAATCCATGCATTGTTTCCTGAGTTCCCTAAGTTTCCTCTTGGTTGTTTCCTGAGTCCCGCCATTGCAAAAATATGGTACCGGCTCCACCTTGTCTCTCTGGTGTTTGAAGTGTTTATAAATGCATATTGGTTTCACATTCCTGGTTTCGGTTTCGTAAGTTCGTACTGTAGGGTACGGCTTTCAATCTCGTGCCCTTACAACAGGATAAAAAAAATCTTGGAATGCAGGAAATATATTATTTTCCTTGTAGGAATTTTATCCCATAATGCATTATAATGGAAGAACGTTTTCCTGTATTTTGGTGTCAATTATTATATTTTCTTAACTACCCAGTATACCTTAGTTTTTATTGAATAATGTAGGCTATTAGCAGCTTCGTGTTAATTTTCCCCATTTGCCTGCAGCTTCGGTCATAATATACTTACTTTAAAGCCTACTCTCATCTTGGGGATGTGATTAGGCTTTTATTGTAAGAGTTGTTTAACGCCCAACATCAACAAGAAGTTCGTTATTTCTACCCTTTAGTTTTTTCGGTCATTTGATAATGAGTTCAAACAGCAAGTCATAAAAAGAACACACCCAACATGACGTCATTAATGGGCGGAGCTTTTATAACTAACATTTTTTTTTCATGCAACTGGCTGATCGATCTAATGTTTACATTCAAGACAACTATCCAATTGCTGATTAAGAGTCAAGTCATTGAGGTAGTAATGCTTTCATTTCTACTGTAGCCTTCATGGGCTTGGCTGGTTATTTGGATATAAACAGAGTTTCTACCAATGAAATGTAAGAGCGGGAAAACTATTTAGCACAACAACCCGCCTTTTGATTCCAGTAAACAAATAACTGGTTTAGGCCAGCCAGCCAGTCTTATTTTATTAGTTTTGTTTACTTTTAATCCCCAAAGAAGCACATATTGGTGTTCAGAATGGAATTCAACTCAAATATTCGCTTAGCTCTGGGTTTTGCAAAAGGTACTTATGTCGATAGATTTTATACCTATAAAAGTCAGAGGGCTGCAACAGAACTCATGGGAGAACATGATAATCAAATATAATTTTGATATTTCAAGAGTACGACTGAACCAAAGCTAGGGTCCGATACTGTGGTTCATAATCTCTCAAATTAACATAATGTAGCATAACTCTCACACATTAATTATTAATTATTATCCTAAATCAGAAATTTGAGTTTTTATGAACAGTAAATACTGTCTATAGTGTAAGTATAATTACTTCTAAAGCTACATAATTATCTAAAGCTACAATTATTTATAAAGCTATTAACATAAATTTCCTGCTGTCCATAAATTGACTGTACCCGTATATAACAGACGATCCTCCCACAACTTCAAGTGATTTTTTAAGCCCACACCACTTTCGCAGCGTAAATGGGGAACTATTCTGTTTGTTAATATTTCACACTGCTAAGCTTCCCCCCACCCCCACCCCACCGACGACCACCACATAGAAATGATAGAAAATCATATTTTTTACAAGAAAGAGACAAATAGATACAGAGACAGAGATGGATAGACTGATAGATAGATGGATGGAAAGATGGATAGATAGGATAGAAATAAATATAGAAAGATGGATGGTCCGCGCACAACCCGTCCCCTACAGTACCCATATTTCCTTACTCATTCTTACCCATTTGTTGACGGTCAACTCCAGAAGCTACAAATGAGTTTGTTAATGCCTCGCAGTATTTTGCAACCACAGCTCATTATTCTTCTCACCAAATTTACCTTATGTGAAAACTTTTTTTTTTTTTTTTATTTTTTTTTTTGCAGGGATATTCCTGCGCCGGCCCTAAGCCTCTGGCTGGCCCACTAAGTTTTTTCTTGTTTCTGTTTTACTTGGGCGGAGTACGAGTATTTATGACTCGTATGGTCGCTTCAGTAAGATTTTGCTCCATGTTTTTAACAACTTCTTCTGCTCTGTTGAATCTAAGTTGAAATCTTAATGGGTTTGTAACTGTGCACTGTGTTAGATAATGTTCCAGTGGTCTGTTAGGCATTTCTCCACAGTGCTGACATTTCCTCTCATCTTCCGGAACCTGTAAGCCTATTTCCCATGCACATGTGTATCCAAGCCTGATGCGATGTAACTGTACTTCTGTTGTTCTACTGCTCCCTTTCATCAAACTAAGAAGTTCGTAGTTGGTTGAATTCTTGCACCAATCCGAAGGATCCTGATGTTGCACCTGCTGTGTTATGGTCACTGTACATCTTTTGCATTGCTCTGTTTCTAATTACTTTCTTAATCTGTGGTATGTAAATGTCTACATTTCTTCTCTTAGTTGCAAGTTTTGCAGCTTCGTCTGCAATATCATTTCCTATTATTCGCGCAAACGTTGACATAGAGCTATATTCTCTCGTGTAGTCCGTTTATGTAAATCAAAAACACCGTTATCGTGAGTGAACAACTGATTAAATTTGAAAAAAACTACTTCTGTGGTGCAAGCACTGTTAAGTGATCCAAATTGCCTAGTCAGGGAGGACCATTGATCGAGGAGGTGATGAAATAAATTCCTCAGATTCTTAATTAACAGAAGACAGCCCCAGTCGCCCCTCACATTCCCTAGTTGTCTTTGATCGTCCTCGAGACGAAGAAAAAGAAGAAAAATGACGCAGTCACTTTCTTGATTAGGTAAACTGTATTGATCTGTAGTTCAAATGCCGGAGTGGTTTTCACCGGATGAAATTAAGTTTATCGAGGTCTTTTGTTAACGTGTTGGATTATATCCCGAAGTATACGTTTGTATATTAATGAATATATGAGCTCCTGTGTATGCGGGGCAGGTTTAATCAACGCGGCCACTGTAGCAGACGATTTATGGAGTGAGTGTTACATGGAGTATTATAACAATGGCCGCCAGAGTGCTAAAACAACGGTCCGTGCACCTCAAGTACACGCTGCGTGCTCCACGCTACTTGCTCCATACTTAATGTTCCACGCTACCTGCTCCACACTTCCTGTTCCACGCTACCTGTTCCACCAGAGCCACTACACACACACACACGCACTATTATCACCACTGATGATATAATCATCACCCCTATAAACTACACACCCACTGCCACAACACACACACACACACACACACACACACACACACACACACACACACACACACACACACACACACACACACACACACTCTCTCTCTCTCTCTCTCTCTCTCTCTCTCTCTCTCTCTCTCTCTCTCTCTCTCTCTCTCTCTCTCTCTCTCTCTCTCTCTCTCTCTCTCTCTCTCTCTCTCTCTCTCTCTCTCTCTCTCTCTCTCTCTCTCTCTCTCTCTCTCTCTCTCTCTCTCTCTCTCTCTCTCTCTCTCTCTCTCTCTCGTTCATTCGTTCGTTCGTCGTTGGCTCGTTTCAAATATCAGCAATTTCTATTCCGGGAGCTTGCGGGGTCAAACACAATAAATTCGTCTTATTAGAGAGATTTCAGAGGTCTTGACGGCCCTACGGACGTGAGTAGATTTTTAGAGTGGTGCCCGAGCTCCTTCCCCCTGTCTGTCTGTCTGTCTGTCTGTCTGTCTGTCTGTCTGTCTGTCTGTCTGTCTGTCTGTCTGTCTGTCTGTCTGTCTGTCTGTCTGTCTGTCTGTCTGTCTGTCTGTCTGTCTGTCTGTCTGTCTGTCTGTCTGTCTGTCTGTCTGTCTGTCTGTCTGTCTGTCTGTCTGTCTGTCTCTCTCTCTCTCTCTCTCTCTCTCTCTCTCTCTCTCTCTCTCTCTCTCTCTCTCTC